TGTATATTTTCTGTATTTATGATACATTAATTTACAAAATAATAATGTAAGACTTCAGTGCTGATGCATTTGTGTGTAACAATTAAAAAATGAAAGGAAATGTATTAATAAGATAATTCGCCTTAGTAATTCAACTAAGTATGATAAAATGAAAAAAAAAAAAATCTTCAATTATCTCCTTAAAATGATGTTTATTTTAATTAGATGTAACTAGATATACTAATGTAAATATATGTTTGTATGAAGTACAATGTACAATGAAAGTTTTATGTATGTTCGAAGTAATTATGTTATTTCAATCTGCCATAATCCAACTTTGTTGATGGTTAATTTCTTGCAATAATTGTATACATGCCTTTGTAATTGTATATTCAATACGTAAGTCTAATATTAATGTAAAATTACTATGTAAATGTCTTGGTAGGCTAGCATCCGATGCGGCCAACTAAAAGCCCAGCGGGACAGTAGTGCGGCGGAGCAACACCTGTAAAGTCACTGACGAAGTTCTGGTGCTCCGTCCACTTTTCCCTGTCCCTGTCCCTGTTGATCACTTGGTTACTTAAGATTTATAGATAGGTACGTAACACAAGGAAACGTAGAGTAGAAAGATACTTTGCGTTAATAAGATACTCTACTTAATAAGAACAGGAAAAACGGAAAATAGTAACATTGTTCAATTTAAGTCTTAATTAATCTGCAAACGCTATTTTTCGGTTCATTACCTATTATTTTGTTATGAGGAAATACAATATTACTTATTCTTTGTTTGTAATTGACTGATAGCACGCAAGAAACATTCTGAAACAACGCAAGAATACGCTGCCTGAAACACGCAAGAAGGATGTTGATGGGAAAGAAAAATATTTTTAAAGGTTTTCAGATATTCTTAATCTAATTTTGGACATTTGAGCTCAAAAATAATATTTCAAACTATTTAACAAACAGCCGTTTTTTTTTCCTTCATTTTTGTACGAAGTAAAGCAAGTATTTCAATCGTGAAAAATTACGGGTATTGTATTTCAACTAAAATACCCATTTTGAGCGCTATCGAATGCAATTTAAAGGTGTTTTTACGTGACATCTGTACGTAAGGACAGAATAAAGGACTCGTTTTTCCCAAACGAATTATAAAGCTGATTTAAAATTTATTCAGGTGATATGTTTTTCCTTACGTATGTACGTACGTATGTATGTATCTCGCATAACTCAAAAACGAGTAGACTCAGAGCGTTGTAATTCTGTATATGGTTCTGTTATAACATGTAGTTGTTCATCTTTCCTTTTGGTTGTAATTGAAAGCAATAAACGTATACATCCACTCTGTTACCCGGCTCGGTAAGCTTATTATATTAATTCTTATATGTTGGTAAATTAGGCATTTTTTGCTTTAAAAGGGATTGAATTATGTTGTTATGAACCTCCTGTTAAAGCTCTTATGTCTTTCGTTAATTTGCATGCAAAAGTTGTAGAATTATCAGCAGCTTAAAAGTTATTTAGGTGCTACTAATGCAGCTGCCATTTTTTTACATTTGAACCTTTTTAGAATAATAGTGAATTCAGTTTCCGCACCAAATTCAGTGCCTTTTTGCTGAGTGGGACTAAAGTAAACTGATAGTTTTGTACATTGAAAAATCTGTCTTCTTGCCAGCTAACCGAATTATTGGTTTTAGGTTAGAAACTCTAATTTTAATTGTAAAAATATTTTTAGCTGTTTTTATTGTATTCGGTGTTTTACGTTTTTCTATATTTTTTAACTTTTACTGAAGATGTTTCGAATTTTTATGTATTTTTGCCTTTCCGGAAGTAGGACCTGAATTAATTTATAAGGTATTTCTCCCGCCTTCCTAGCGTGCCTTCGTGGCGTAGTGGTTCTGTACGCTGGGCCGGTATTCCAGAGGTCCGTGGTTCGATTCCTGACGAAGGCGTTGCTAATTTTTCATCTTGCCTGCTTCCAAAAAATATCCTAATGTCTCTACAAATCAAATTAGAAATGCATTTCTAATGAAATTGGTGGAAATAAATGTAAATGACATGCAGCAAAAACTGTGTATAATTTAATAGGCCGTACAAGGAAATCATGTGTTGTCCATACAATTTTATTTATTTTAAATCAAGCTGAAGCATTTTGTCACATAGTCTATATGCTAATGTGTGCTAATTTGTAAATGCAAATATACATTGTTGCGTACCTATGGGTTCGCATTAGACTGAATGAAGTCCGATAAGAGGTTAATGAAATTTATTCTTTTCAAAAGAAATATAAGAGAACAGTGAAATTTTTATCAGAGAAATTTTATCAGAGATAACAATACAAGTGTTCACGCAATATAATTAGTAGTTATACTTCAGACTACTAAAAGTAGTTTTAAAATACAATTTTAAAATACAACCTAAGTGCAAAGAGAAAGCTAATCCAGATATCACAGTTGAAGCGGAACCAAACTTGCAACAATAGTAACTAAAGAACTAACTGAATAACTGAACTGAGACGTGACACTAAGTGGTGAGGAACGGAGAGACAGTTTTAGGATTAATTCCATTTTCGAAACCGGACAGCTAAGACCCGTTCCGGTAGATAGGTAAAACTGCTCGTCCGGTTTCGAGATTGGAATTAATCCTAAAACTGTCTCTTCGTTCCTCACCACGTATACTTAATGTCGTAACTTCGTTACTGGTGAGGGAATAATGTTGGAAACGGTAAAAGTTAAATGTATTTCTTCTTCAAATTGTTGAGACTACCTTCATGGCAACTACTCCGGTAAAAGAAAGCGAAGAAAAAAAGAAGAAAACAGTTATTGATTCGAGCGGGGTTTGGCAACCAGCATTTTTGTTTACAGCTCTAACTTGAACTCAATTTTTGAAAGGTTTTTCGAATCGGCTGCAATTGGATATTGTTGTTTAAATAATTATAATTTTAAACTAAAGATGTAAATAATATTGTGTCAATTTAAAAATAAAATAATAAGGAAAATATAAAAAGAAATTGAAAGCTCTCAGATTTTACATTACTCCCAAAGGGACGTTTTCTTAACGTTTTGTGTGTGACCTTTATTTATTAAATGTCATGTTCTTCGCACTTAAACCATAAAAATGAATTCGAAAGCAATATCGCAAAATAATTTTAAAATGAGCATATCTTAAGAATTTCCGATACACAGTCTCGCGCGAAAAGATAATTTTTTCCCCCGTACAGTGTTTCCATCGCTCGCTTTGAAGTAGTTGAGTTTCTTAATCAAACATTCGTTAGTGTTACAAAATATGAAATCAATAATAAAACAAATTCGAAATTTGGGCCTTTCAGATGCCCATATTCGGAAGAGGATTACGTTGTTCGAAATTGGGCAGCTCTAGGTACCGTTGTTTTATCACAATGCGAGAAACATAGATACATTTATGCATTATTATTCATTATTTAATTTTCTTTAAATATAACACAGGACGATAATATTTGGTGGCAATAGTTTGAAAAGTGGCACAAACATTTACAGTGAATAGACGCAAAATGACAAAACGAAATTAATAGGCCTTCTGAGCTAACGCTCCTTTGGGCTAAAAAGCTATGTCTGATGATTATTTCTACGCAATAAATGATTCACAAAAGAAAATATTAGTCTTTTTTTCCTAGCAGGTATTCGGAATATAATCCAGCATCAAGAAAATCATCAAAACGGTAAATCTTGAAATTTATTGAGCCTTTATGTTAATAGATTTAACACTATTTGGAGTATATACTAGTTTTATTTAAAACAAACGCAATAAATTACTACTCCGAAAGTTGCTCTAATACAGTTTTCTCCCGGCCGCCCAGTAATCTGTAGTACTTCTAGAAATGACTGGAAGGTATATGAGGGCCGGATATGGTTACAGCTACACATAGCATCAATAATAGTCATTCAGTTACAAAACCCATTACAGTTACACACGGACAGCACCAATATTCCAGGTCTCTGTATCGCCAAATTTGGCGAAACGTCTGTTAATTAGAGCCATGTTTTGCGAGTTTTGGCGATTCCCCCAAAATTTGGCGACAAAAATTAGTCGCCAAAACTACAGCCAATTTATGATAAGGTAGCCATTTACTGAAGGTTAATAGACTTTCCCCTGTATTCTTACTTTCCAGCAAGATTCGCTTCTTTAGATTTTCATGTTATATTATACGCACACGAAATAAATAAATAAATACAATTTAACATACAATTTTGTAGAGACATTTGGTACTTTTTTGGGGCTGGAGTGATAAAAAATGAGCAACTCTCTTCCCGGGAAACGAAACACGGACATCTGGAATACGCGCCCAGGGTGCAGACTACTACACTACGAAGGCATGCTAAGAAGGCGGGAGAAATCCCTTATATACTCCCCCTTTTAAAGTTCGACTGAATTTTTAGCGGACCCAATCTCCAAATCTTGGATCTGGAGAGTTATCATCCACCATCCTTTTAGTTCAGGCGCCACTGTAGAGACATTAGGTATTTTTTGAAGCTGGTGTTATGAAAAATGAGCAACGCCCTTCCAGGGAATCGAACCACGGACCTCTGTAATATGCGCACAGCGTGCAGACCACTACACTACAAAGGCATGCTAAGAAGGCGGGAAAATACCTTATGATTTCACTAAAATTAATATACAAAAAATCGTAAAAATACTTTTTGCAGCATGGCTAACAAATTGTAGTCACAGTGTTCAAATCCATTAGCAGATAAAATTAAATCACTCAACCAAAACTATATATATATTTAAAAAAAGCTATTATCATGCTCCATCGAATGTACTGTTTAAAATATGAAAATGGCTACATAGCAGAATGCTGACTGATTGCCTAAAAATTTGACCTTTATCGTGGTATTGCTATTTTACCTTTATTTGCATATTGCCTAATTAGCATACTCAAACTTATCGAAATAAAATAAGAGTTCTACTCACTGATAGTGCAGTTTATATTCTTTTACACGGTTGCTGAAGCGTAAAACAGACAAGTAAGCGATAAGTTCAGAGGTGAAAGGCTAGATAATTTCTTGATATATTAACTACGCTAACAGCACGCCATCTGAAACGCAGTAAATGATGCATTTCTCTCGCGCTTTGGATGTAACACTACAGTGAATTTTTCGCCTGGGTAAGAATAATTCTTTTAATATTAATGCATTTGTTTACATTTTGCAAATGATTATCAGTGTCATATACTGCTTATTAATAATAATCAATGTTCAGAGTGTTTTGAATTTGAATCTTACTACATGTTTTAAGTTTTGATTTGGGTATTTGATTGATTTGTAATTGATTTTGTTATTTCATATTTCTAGAAAAAATGTTTTGATTACGGTACTTAGCTAAATGTCTAGACTTTTTGAACAATATTAAAAAAGGGAAGAATTGACTTTAAACTTAATGCAATATTTTTAGTTTTATACAGTAGTGACAAAAAAAAAAAATTATGATGCGGACTTCCTTGTACGGCCCATTAAATTATACGCAATTTTTGCTGCATTTCTTTTTAAATTAGTTCCTTGAACTTCATTAGAGCTATATTTCTCGTTAAATTCGCGACAAGTTCGTTCAATTTCTCCCTTCGCGACACGTCAAAAATACATAAAACCTCAAAATATCTTCATTAAAAATTGAAAAATATAGAAAAACATAAAACATCAAATGCAATTCGGCCAGTGGACAAGTAGGCAGAATTTTCCGTGTACAAAACTTAAAGTTTACTTCTGGTCCCATTCAGCAAAAAGACACTGAAGGTGCAGAAACTGTCTTAATTCACTATTCTAAGCTTTAAATGTAAACAAATAGAGCTGCTAAGTTGGGCTTAGCCGCACTTAAACAACTTTTAAAATTATTAATAATGCTACAACTATAGTGTGCAGATTAATTAGAGGAACCTTAATCCTCTAATTAATTTGTGCAGATTAATTAGAGCAACATAATTCAATGATTAGAGCAATATAATTCAATGATTCATAAGAACAACATAATTCAATAATTCATAAGAACAACATAATTCAATGATTTTTAAAGCAAAAAATGCACAAGTTACTAATATATAACTAATATAAACTAATATAAACTGAGCTCACCCAGCCGTGTAACAGAGTGGTTATATATATATATATATATACTTTATATATATATATATATACTTTTGGTGCGGCCGATTGCAACCGAAAGGGGAGGTGCACAACCATATGTTATAGCAGTCCTATGTTCAAAATTTAACTCTCTGAAGCTGTTCTTTTTTGAATTATGCGATACACAAATACGTATGTACAAACGTCACGAAATAAATCTCTTTTGAATGCATTTTAAATCATTTTGCAATCCGTTTTGGGTAAAAGAGACCGTTATTCTATCCTTACGTACAGATGTCACGCAATTCCTTTACTTCGTAGAAGGAATTAAAAATTAATGTCCGTGATTTTTCAAAGTTGAAAACATTCTTGAGATCTTCTTAGCATTTATTTTTATAACTGACTGGAACTGAAGTCGAAGCTATACAGACTCTTGCAAATGACTTTGAGTGATTTTCTGCTGAAGTGAAATAAATCTTAATCTGAGTACAATAGAAAAGACATGATTACTGCAATGTACTTTACTTGATTAATTTGGAATATAAATTTTATATTATACCTAACTTTTTTAAAAAGAAGTTAAATAACTGTTAATCCAAAATAATGAAGTTATTTAAAGGACTTTATGATTTATTAAAAATAGAAATATATCGTATTTGATGTAATAATTTATTAATTTTTATTTGCATATTTTATTATTCTTGATGCCTCACATGATATCAGTTGGTATAATACATTACTCAGGAAACCAGCAAGTAATAAAAATCATATTACAAACTCGTTTTCGATGTTAGACTTTGCAACACAGAAAAAAGACGCAAAATAAAATGAAGTATTAACGTCTTCTTAAGACATGCTGATAAAAGTCAGACGTCTGTGTCGACGTTTATGACAGTGTTATCGAGAAGGTCAATTCAAGTTATTTTTGAATGTATCAAACTTATTATGAAACTCGAATTATTTATTCATACATTTTTGTAAAAAATAAAAGCAATTTTCTTGATTAAATACTTGATAAAATCAGCTGCTAAAACAATTTCTTCCCATTTTATCTGTTAGTATCTGTATGCTTCTCACACAAAAATAAAAAATAAAATGTATGTAGTTATATTAATATTTGAAAAAAAATGAAAGTTTTAGATTTTATATTACTCCGAAAGGGGCCCGCGCTGGGGATAAAAATGTTTATTCTGCGCAGTGTTGACCCTGCTCGCTTTGAAATCGTTGAGTTTTTTAATCAATAATTCGCTAAAGTTTTACAAAATATGAAATAAATGAAACAAATTCGAAACTCAAAATTCGGATTTCCAGGGGCCTGATTCGGGTGGAAAACTACATTATTCAAAGTTAGATGAATCCAGGTTCCGCAATTTTTTCACAGTGAGATAAACGTACATACATTCATATAGATTCTACATAACTTCTTTAAATATAATAGAGGATGATAATATTTAGTGGCAGCAACTTGAAAAGATATTTAAAGATCTCAGTGACTCGCCGCAAAATACCCTTTCGTGACTAACTGCCTTTCTGGGCTAATGCCCCTTTAGGCTAATTAATAATTATAAGTTTTCTAATTAGAAGTCTTTTTTACGTTAAAAATCTCGAGATACAAAGCACCATTTCATATAAAGACTCATATTAAAGAGGAGAAGTCATTTCTTTGTTGTTTCAATTGAAATTATGTAGGAAAAATATTTGTATATACCTATGCCATTCGTAATTTGCGATATTCAATTTTTGAATTAAATCAAGAATCAGTAGGAATTAGACAGATAATTGATTAAAACGATATTAAATGTACACGAAAAAAAAAAAGGCAGCAGTTCTACGAGGGCATTTCGAAAAGTAAAGATACACCGTACGCCAGAGGAAAAAAAAAAAAGTTTTGGTGAGCAAGTTGGCAACACAGGTGTCAACCTTGAACCATTAGCTTTCTCCTCGCGGTCGTTCGGCATTTCAACGTTGATTCTGGTTGGAGTAAGTCGTGTTTAAAATGGCTGCGCCGATTCAGAATCCCTCCAAAAGCGAAGCGCGCTCCGTCATACGTTTTCTTCATGCAAAAGGTCAGCGACCAGCGGATATTCACAAAGAAATTGTTTCTGTTTATGGGAACATTATGAATCGACAAAATGTAACGAAATGGTGTCGTCATTTCTCTGAAGGTAGGACCGATGTCCATGACGAACATGTCGGCCATCTGTGATTTCTGATGCCCTTATTCAGAGAACAGAGGAAGCAATTCGTGCGAATAGACGTCTAAAATTGAAAGAATTGCATCAGATCATACCGGAAGTGTCAATGACAACTCTTTATGAAGTTGTGACTGTCAAGTTAGGGTACAGGAAATTGCATGCGCGCTGGGTTCCAACAGGCGGCAACCTTCTATGACTGTGGAATACAAAAGCTTGTGCACCGACTTAACAAATGTTTGGATAACGAATGTGATTATGTCGAAAAATAATAAATAATCCAGTTAATAAGATGTTACTGACGTTTTCTAAATAAATGTTTTTTTAAGGAATACGAGCCATTGTATCTTTTCTTTTCGAAATGCCCTCGTACATCTCCCGTTCTATTGGACGGATTGCTGAAATTCGACTTGCGTTTTACATTTCTTGAAAGCGCGACTTAGGATATGTATTAGATTTATATATAGCATTGTTCTAATGTAGATATTTTGACACAAAATCGGTTTTTCTCTAAAATGGCATGAAATTTTTTTCCCTATTTCGATTCTACGACTCAAATTTTGCCAAACTTCCAAGTTTTGAAAAAAATCGCCCGAATAGTTTTTAAAAAATTAGCTCTCAAAATATTAGCTCCTCAATGTTAATTGAATTTAATGTATATTTATTAATATATCTTTTTTTAATAAACTTATTTGATTCTTCCTTTCATATTTCATAATTTAGTTTCAATCCAAATAAAATTCGCTCATTTTTTATGATTTATTTTTAAAATTGGTATTTTAAAATATTTATAGATTTTTCGGAAAAAAAAATATAACTTATAAACCTATAAAACCTATATTATAACCTATAAAATTTATGCCATCATCTTAAAGTAGATTTACTTCTAAGCATACCTGCAAAAACTTACAATTTTTTATTCAAACTTTTCTAAGGCGTTTTGAAATGTGACGTACTTTTATAAGCGATAATGAAGAAAATGTAGTTTACGCAGTTTGTTAAGATTATTTGAAAGAATGAAAAATGAACCTTTTTTTCCTCTCGCATCAATGAAAAAAAAAAAGAAAGTAAGTAGGTTGCCATAAATTAAGAATTTCGCCAAATTAATTATTCTTGGCGCAAACTGAAAAAATTTAGCCAAGATAAATTTTTAAATTTCTCTGTAAATTTGGTACCAAATTTTACAAAATTTAATATTTAAGCATAATTTGTGCCGTAGAATCAAAACATGGAAAAACGTTGGCATGCCATTTCAGAAAAAGTAAGATTTTGTGTCAAAATACGAATATTAGAACAGTGCTATATATAAATCTAATAATATATCCTATGTCCTAAGTCGCGCTTTTGAGCCATGAAAAGCGCAATTCGAATTTCGTCAATCGGCTCAATAAAACGGTTGATGTAGAACTGTAGCTTTTTTTGGAGCAGTGTACATTATAAATAGATATTGTAAAATAAATTAAATATTATAAATTAAATCATATATAGGCCTGCTATTGAACTGTCAACTGAGTTAAGTCCTAGAAACCCTACTAGACGAGATAGGTCTTACTAGACCCTACTAAACCTAGACAGACTTCCTACACCCTTACGCATCTGAGACGTAGTTATCGCTACGTCTCAAATGTTCACAAAATACTGAAGAAAGTATTAAATAACCTTTTATTTTAATCTAAATCAAACAGAAAGGCACATTTTGTGCTATATATAAAAAGCACTACTCGTGACTAATCAAATTAAGAAATAATATAAAAAACTAATAACGTAATCTAAGACTACACATGTAATAAAATAAGTTAGCATCCGGCTCAATTATTTTATCGACGCATAAATTTAAATTATCGCCGCGGTGACCGGTACGTCATCTTAGCGGGGTCTTTACTGTCTGTCTACGAAAAGAACAGCCCCGCCACTGTGTCTGAAGGGTGGCGGTCGCTATAGCAACAGGGCTAGTATATTTCAAATAGGGGCGAACCAAAGGTCACCAGTTCATCTTTAAATACGCCAAGATGGCAAACTGGAAAGTAAATCTTTAAGACACCGCTATGGAAAATGGGTCAAGGCTCGTTTCTACGGCGACCGACAGCTGCAGACTATCTGACGAGAGCTTTTCGTATGAATGGACAGACTGTAGAACAACTAGATTCAAGATTTGTATAACCCCGGAGCTGAGACTGCCTAAGTACAGATCCTAGACAATAGCTTCGCAGAGTTCTCTACGTCGACCCCGGGGGGGGGAATGTAAGTCTTAGAAATTAAACAACAAAATCCTATTAAACTTATGCATTATTATTAATTTGCGTGCATATACATAAATTCTTCTCATGTTTGTTCATGTAGGCCCGAAAGATGAAGCTAACGCCTCGAGAACTAGATGCATTACTTGTACACCAAGCTGGATATCTGGCACAAAAAAGGTTAGCCAGAGGATGCCAACTGAACCACCCTGAGGCAGTTGCTCTAATATCCTGCCAAGTACGGTGTTTTTGAAAACTTTGGTAAACATTTTATTGTAGGTATCTAGGTATCAATTTTCTCTAGTCTGAATTTAACTGCGCACCTCTGCATATTTATTTTTCAGGATAAAGATGTACATTTATTAAAACTCTTTTAACAAGCTATGAAAGAGATGCACTCAAACAAGGGTTTTAATGTGTTTGACCGTTGAGATGATTTAGTACTAACACTGCGCCGAAAGAATTAAATTGCCATCCCGACACGACAGAGAAAATATAATGTCTGTCAAATCCTGACACAGGGAAAATAATAGCAGATTACACAGCTTTTATTAGAAAGCTTAGATTTTTACAGTGTAATAAATTAGTAATAAAAATAATATGTAGTTACTATTGGTAATAAATAATATAATTATATACTTGGAATTTAAAAATAATTATCGATAATATTTAGTTTGGTTTTTATGTGATTATGGCAAAGCCGAGGGCTATCCGCCTAAAAGGAGGGATAACCTTCGTGGAGGACGTTTTAATGTAAACCGGCTCGTATATACGCTATACATAGGGAAAACCACGAAAACGCCCATGGAGCGAGCTCGTTTGCGGGATTCGAAACTCGGACACAACTACCAGTGTTCAGTGACTTTACCGTTCGGCCGCTGATGCGCCGATTATTGATAATAAAAATATAATGCATAAGATGTTTGTGATAAAAATGTAGTAAAATATTTATACTAAAAATATATATAAGATGCTGGTGATAATACAGGTACAATAAAAATATTAGTAATAAACCCATACGTCTGATACTTTCTTGAAAATTGCTGCAGTAAAAAAAATGCATGCCATTGAAACAAGGACATGATACACTTTTAATTAACTTCAGTGAAACGACATGTTAATTATTACTTGTGAATTCAATTTATTACGAACCCGAACGCACGAAACAATATTGTCGCATATAACAAACTTAATTTTAACGTGATGACACTCACAAAAGCAGTTTTTGGTCCGGATGCAATTAATAAAACATTCATTCGAGTTTTGAGTTCTTCCGTGAATGCAATTTGGCAGTAGTTTTTTTTTTTTTTTTTTTTTTTTTTGTCAGAGAGACTTCTAAACATATTTTTAACAGCTAATAAAACAGGTTTTGGCAAAAAAAATGTGTAGTAACATGCTTTTTATCATCTAATATAGCTCTACTGTAGCCCCACCAAATATTTGTGTCTTTCAGACAGGCGGGCTTGCTCGTGGTTGTTTACATTATTTAATGAAACATTTCGGTCTTTTAAAATTTCGAAACATCCATAAATTATATATTTTTGAATTCGTCTCAGTCTACTTTACCTTTTTAGCCGAATATTGAAAATTTTGAAATTTTGAAAATTATTATGTCATATGTCCCCTTAATACTATTTCCTCAGTACCAGTTACAAATCTAGATTAGTTGTATTGTTTTAGTGAGTGCAGAACTATTTAATCTCCAGACACCAGCTACTTTCATTTTTTTTTCATTTTCATCTTTCATTTTTCTTCTTGTATATGGAATATGTATAGGTACACTTAGGGAATATTTAATTTAATAGGAAACGTGCATCTTAAAGTAATCTAAGTTAGAAAACTTGTTTCGTAATATCTTTTTAAACTGTGCACACGAAATGTTTTGTATTTAATTTAATTAAAGTATAACAGTATTTTACTAGTTTAACAGTATTTATTGGTGACACGTGTAACATAAATTATTGTCAAAAAGGTTTGAAACAGGCCTATAATTAGCGATTTTTAATTTCTCAAATCTTAGCAATAGATAATAGAATATTTTTCTTTGCCTAGATATTGCCCTTGCTGTGCTATCAAACATAATAATTATTTAATTGAATAATTACAGTACTGCTACTTTAATTTCGTCTTTAATAATGCATATTTAGTAACTCATGTTTTCTGTTCTGATGTTTCTTTTTTCTAATTTTTAGATCCAAGAATTTGCTAGAAATGGTGACAGTGTAGCGGAATTGATGTGTAAAGGTCGACAGTTATTAGGTAAATACTTCAATTCTTTCTCTTTTTAAACATTTAAGGTATCTGCTCATAAAATTAAAATATTTTTATTCTCAATTTTCGTCTAATTTTTACGTTTCTTATCCAATTTATTACATATGCTTCCAAATAAGTTATTCAAAGTAGCATAATGTAGTGGGAGCCGTGGCAATTATTACTGCGAATATGCTCAAGGACCATTGAAATTAACAGGAAAAGAAAAACAGGAAAAATGCTTGGTATATTCAGCAATTGTCTGCTGTTGTTGTTGACTAGTGCTCCCTTCTCTAACCCATAGTCAGCCCAAGCCCTTGAAATTCCTCTTAGCAAGGAACGCAAGAAATACCTGTCTTTGGTGTGCACCTCACTGCTTGAACCTTGGCCTTGAGCACCTTACAACTGACAGTGCAATTTAGCTCAGTTCCACTCCTAATTTTGGAACTGATTCGAGGGTCTCCCACCCCTCTTACCCTACCACTAACCTCTCGAGAGGACTTTCGGCTTGCCACATATTTAGAAGGCCCCCATGCCACACGAACACTATACATTTACAAACATATTAGCCTTCTCCGGGATTCGAACCTGGACCTTTCGGCACGGCAGTCAGCGATGCTAACAACTATAGCGGTTGGGCGGTTGCTTTACCTATTTAGATGCTTTTTGTAAGAAGTATCTGAATATGTTTTTACAATTTTCTCTATGTAATATATTTCTTTGGTCAAATATAGTCTTTGTTTTAATACTGACGTCACTGTCACAGAAAATTTTGCACTGTATCACTTGGAAGGTTTTCGTGAAAAATTGCAAATAATAAACTGGAATTATGCAATGTTCCCTGAACATATCTAAGGAAGTATATCGCGGACAAAATATGCCAGAGAAAAGAACGCAAGACGAAACGTCACCGCATAAAACATACGCTAGAAAGCAAAGAGAAAAAAATTCACCGTTTTAAACGTTGTCACCGTATAAAATATCGTCATAGGAAATTAAGAGATGCCAAAATCTCGCAATTTGAAAACATCGTAGTAGAAATAAAGCAGCTACAAAACATTTATAAGGTATTTCTCCATCCTTCCTAGTTTGCTTTCGTGGTGTAGTGGTTCTACACGCTGAGCCGGTATTCCAGAGGTCCATGGTTCGATTCCCGGCGAAGGCGTTTGCTCATTTTTCATCTTGCCTGCTTCGAAAAAATACCTAATGTCTCTACACATTAAATGACAAAAACATAGCATAAAAATGCAGTTTATGAGTCTATTGTCATTCAGAATTCTGTAGAGGATATTTATTGGTGAATAAAGACGACCTTTCTAAGACGACCGGTCATGGTTTGGCATGACTTTGCTGTTCTGTGCAGATGGTCATCTTAGTGAGGTGACGTTTAATAAAGATGCTACTTTGTGTTTTCAAACCTAATAGCTACTTTCCTAAGCGGTAGTTGTGACAGCGTTCACTGCACTTTAACTGAGAGTATAAAATGCAGTTATGGTGCTATGAAAATTTATAATATGAAAATGCTACGAATTTTTATAATATAACATTGGCAAAAATTTAGAATTCTAAATGTTTGAAACGCACAAATACATCATTTAGAATGTTTTCGTCATTCTAGTTTTGATAGCAGTTTTGTTTTTTACCACCATATTAGCAGTTTTGTTTTTTACCACCATATTAGCAGTTTTGTTTTTTACCACGATGTTTGCAGTTTTGATTTTTACAACAAAACTGAGAAATTTTGTCACGACACTATTTTCTACTATCATATTTTGTAATGTGATGATTAAGAACGGCGAAGGTTCATTTTCCACCATGATGTTGTCTTCTCTACCACGATTTTTTTTATTGGTTGACAAAGAAAGTTTTCTCTGTCTGAAGTTTCTCTAATCTATCTTGTTTACGTTTGCGTTTTTAGCTGTATTGAACGTTTAATCGTTACATGCTCAGCAACGTTGAACAAAAATGATAAAAGAAGAAATTTTAATGAAATCTGAAATATTTTTCATATGAAATTCATTAAAACTTCGTATAAATTTTAATTAAATATGTTTTTTTATTATAAAAAGCGCGAAATGTCTCAGTCGGCATCGTATATAGCAAATGGCGACATTTCTCATAGATAATAAATTTTTAAAATTCAGGCTCACCAGCAGCAGAGGGGCTCACCAGCAGCAGAGAAGTCGCTAAACACTGGTAGTTCGGTCCAGCTTTCGAATCCCGCGAACGGGTTGGCTGCATGGGTGTTTTCGTGGCTTTCCCCATGTATTCACGTGTATACAAGTCAGTTTCCCTTAAAAAGCCCTCCACGAAAGCAACCCTCCCCCTAGGCAGATAGCACTCGAATGCTCTGCCATAAATAAAATAAACCAAAACGAATCTTTCAGATTCACCATACACATACAGATTTCTTTGTGCAAAGAACAGCGCACTTCAAAAGCGCTACAAAATTAGCTTGTGGGGAATTTTCAACACTACCCACCTATGCTACACAAATTATGCTATCCAATTTTATAAAAAGTATCACAATTTTAACATACAAAGTGACTTAAAATTTCAGAAGGCCACTTACATAACAGTATGCAGTACATTTACAAGAATATTTACCTAATCTAAATAAAAAACAGCAAAGGTAAATTTCACGGAAAACAGATACAGATAATAACATTAAATTCAAAAGTTTTCAGTGAGTATATATTAAATCAAATGACAAATAATGAACTACAAGCAATGATTCAGCAAAATATATTAAAAGTTACATAATATGTAAAATTTGGATACAATTTGCTAATTCAGTTCATATTATAGTTTAAGAGTTGAAGGGAATATAGCAGCTGTGCAGGTCAGTTTAATTCCAGTTTTTGCCATACATGATAGTACAAGACTATTACGGCCATTCAGACTTTACATTGTGCAGCACAAGACCCACAGCATTAAATTTTGTTGTTTCATCAAATAAAAATACGTCACCAAATTCAAGATTGTTTTTAGGTTCTGAAATACTCAAAAAGGAACTTTTTTTGAATGAAGAAACGTTCCAATGAGTGAGAAAAATCAATGTCATCTTGATACTGATTTTTTTCTATTTTTCCTAAATACATTTTAAAAGTTTTGTTTGATATTATTTTCGTTGGATTAAACTTTCTCTTGAGGAATAGCACTCGGGATCTCTACAAAGTTATATGGATATTCAGTTTTATCTTCGATCTATAGAAAATGAGTTGGTCAAGTTCAATTTTAAGTAGGTCATGAACGTTAAGTCGTCAGTTCCTAATATTTTCGACTTCCGTCGGAATAATCATCATCAGATCTTCAAAATGCATTTGAGCTCTACCTAAGATTCTCTTAAAGGCTCTTTAATGCTCTCCAAAGCGTGTTAATAAAAGCTTTTCCAACATTGCTTCACAATAAATTTCTAGATCAAACTTTCATTTGCAATAAAATGTCGAAAATCTTCTTTAACAATGATTTAAAATTAAGGTAAATCTTTGGCAGCATATTTAAATGCTTTCTCATTTTCCTGATAAAAATGTAAGGTAGTTCCTTCTTCTCGAGATATGATGTCAAAGAGCCAAAAGGAATTTCTTTGCAGATGTATAGGATCAGAGTTCAATATCAATGTAATAGCGCACATGAACAATACTTTGTATGATTTTTAGATGTCCTTCCCAAATATGACACTAGCAGGGCCAGTTAATTTCCAAAATTTTGCTTTTGGGTAACTAAGCTGCCTTTTTTTTTCGTAAGTTTTGCTTTATACTTTCGACATAACAAGTGTTCTTCCTTATGACCTTCAGTCTTCATTATGACCTTCTTCACTACATTTACAGATCCAAAATTTCTGCCCTAATTTTTTTCAAGTTCGCAGCGATTCCTGCGTGTAGAACGTTGCTCTTCTTACAAATAATTCAGTAAATCTGGAGTATTTGGGAATAAAGACTGTTTTTTGTCAGATCTACACTCAGTTTTTTCCAGTTTAGTTCCCTCAATTAACTTCTCGTGCCATAATTTCTTGTGTGAAGAAATGCGTTTAAGCTTTGTGAGTGCAAAATATTTTAGGATATTGAATTTCAGAAGTACTTAATAGGCCACTATAGGAAGTTGCTTTTTTAATCATGCAATAAAACATTTGATCCAGATTACAATCCTAAGAAGTTTCAGTAAGTTATTGATTCCTTAATATCTAAAATATAATTTTTTCTTTTTGCAATATAATACGTAGTCATTTTTAATAGAGTATATAAGGTATTTCTCCCGCCATCTCAGCCTGCTTTTGTAGTGTAGTGATCTGCACTCTGGGCGCGTATTCCAGAGGTCCGTGGTTCGATTTTTGGAGAGGGCATTCCTCATTTTTCAAGTCTCCTCTCCGAAAAAATTCTAATGTCTCTACATAGTGATATGATACGATAAGAATGGCAGAAGTCAAGGTACTGGCGCCATCTATTGTAAAAAACAAGGAAACTAAAATGTAATTTCTTTAAAGGCTGAAAGTAAAAATGGATTGGAATTAGCATGATAGTATTGTGTTTCCAGTACTTATTAAATTTATCTCATTATGTTTATCTGTATATTTATTACGTTTATCTATTATTTTTATTACACCCAAACAAATGTTCCATTTAATGTGTAAATTTAAATTTTATCGAAACTATATTGTAATCTCTTTGTGTCCTAAATCATTATTTATAATACGTACCGAATACGGGGTGTACGATATAATCGCACGAAGTACCATAATAGGTAAATTCTAGATCCTTTGGAAAGCTTCAGTTGCTCATTTCTTTAACCTTGTTTTGTAAATAGAAAAATCGCAGTTATTTTAAGAGTTAGTGAAAGAAGGTACTATCCATTGTACATTGCCGGAGCCCCCATACTTTTACTTGTACATACCTATTTCTGAAATTAATAGGTTTAAAATTTGTAAATAACATTTTTTTTTCTGCTGTAAGTGCAACAAGAGTCATTAGGTTTCTTTTGAGTAGGAGACATGAAAAATGTGCGATGCTTTCCCCGGGACTCGAACCTGGACCTCTCGAATACGCGCCGAGTGTGCAACCGCTACACTACGAAGGCATGCGGAAAGGAGGGAGAAAATACCTCATAGTGTACTTTAATTAATTGATATCACTAATAAAAAATGCTTGCGTTTCATTAGTCTTAATTAAGATTAAAACTGATATTTATTTATAAGTTTAATTATGTTTCTATTGAACCATTTCTTATGGTTCAACAGAAAATCAATGTCTTCTTAAAAATTCATTTTATTGGAATAGATAACAACTTATCTTGCTATATTATATTCCTAAACCTGAATAGTCCTATACATGAATTATTCTATAAGTTTGCAACTACAATGATTGCTGTATTCAATAGTATGCTGAAAGTTTATAGACAATATGGACATAGCAATTATGTGATTAAATACAAACTGCATAATTCGAAGCAAAATTCGCAGCTGACGATCTCACATGTTAACCTAACTCTCAGAGTTTATCGATTCCTTAGAGCGTTTTCGCCTTTGCGGAGTTTTGAACCAAATAAGTTGTTAATCAATCTTATCCGGCTTCTGTCACGTGTATTACTATAAACCAATTCTTTCAATGAAGATCCTTTCTTCGATCACTGGAGATAATTTCTTCACGAACGATAGAAATATGTTATCTTATCTCAAACTCTTCTTTGATGAGAAAAAAATGAATTACTTGATGAGACTTAAGAGACTTGTGTAATTTCTTTATCAGCTAAGAATTTCTCAAATATAGTACGCTTGAAAACACGACCTCAAGAATCACAACTACGTTTAGCTTTTAAAATAATGTAACAGCTACTTTTAAACTGCTCCCATGGGAGGGGGGGGGAGTTCACATGCTCACTGTTAGCATGTTCTCCCTTTCGTATCTACCAATCTGTCCACTGGCATTAATTTTCTTTCAATTTTCACAATAGCGTATTTAAGAAACATTTCATCACAACAATAGCGTATTTAAGAAACATTTCATCACAACTCAGAGTAACACAGCTGTTAATCAATGATACATATTTTAATAAATATTTTGCCCTTCGTTTACAATTCTCCGCGTCTACCACAGTTTAAGAAGCGATCGAAATCTAACTGCTTCAAGATGCTTTAAATTTTGCCTTTTCTGAATATTATGTGGAACACATAACTAATTATTAAAATAGCTTTCGCTTTGAATTGTAATTCCAAAATTAAAAAAAACTGCCTTTTCAAATTACACTCGAAAGCAAACGAGAAGCCGTGCAACAAACAAACAACAACAAATTCGAAAGCAAACAAACATGTGATCAAAAAAGCTTCCTTTTCAACCTATTAGGGTTCAAATGAAACGGGTTTTAGAATTAGTAGTGTCGTATAACTGCAGATTTCTCTGAACTAAAAGTCATTTTACCAAGTAATTAATTTTCCGAAAATAATAACTTAAGTATTTATACGGTTGTTGTTGATAAATGGAAGTTGTTGTGAAGAAATACTTGCTAGTTAAATTTGAGCTTTTATTCAATTTAATATAGTATTTGCTTGCAATCAATCTTTTTTAGCCTAGATGGGCTATTAGTCTTGAAACGGCATTTTGTGACGAATCATTAAAAGTATTGAATCATTTTTTAAGTTATTGCAACCAAATATTATCGCTCTGTATTATAGTTAAGGAAATTAAATAATGAAGAATCTGCATGAAAGTATGTATGTTTCTCGCATTGTGAAAAAACAACGGTATCTAGATTGAATCGCATATTCGTCCACACACCTGTATGGGCACCCGGAAGGCCGAATTTTGAAACTCGAATTTGTTTTATAATCTGTTTAATATTTTATAAAACTTTAACCAAATTTTGATAAAATACTCAACGATTTCAAAGCGAGCAGTGGCAACACTGTAAGAAATGAAATGAAACATTTTTATCTTCAGACTGTCTATTATACTACTATGGAAAAGCTAAAGGTATGCAGTTTTTAACTAAATTTAGCCCAAATACTTTCGGAACTGGTCCAGAAATGTGTGCATGAATGTAAGTGAAAAAAATGTCTCTTTGGGCGTAATATAAAAATTTTCGCTTATTTATTTATTTATTTAATTTCGGTTAAAAACATGGATCTGAAAATAGTACGCATGTTCATACTTGACTTTAGCCCCTTCCAGCATACCATCTTAAACTGAATAAGCACATTACCAATAGTAATTATGGAAAGCATTATAGTTCTTTATCTCTCTTAACAAAACTGCATACATGTAATAGGAAGAGTGGCTCGAAAAACATTAATTGGCTACTTGAGACTTGTGGAACTTAGCTAGCACTACAATGAAACTGTACAGCATTTAAATGAAAGTATTATGCTTCAAATGTTACTATTTCACTTAAAACCTATTTATTTATATCTTTATAAAAAGTGAATTGTGGTATATCTGATTCCTGTATTAGAAAACATGTATCATTTAATACGCAAATAAAATTCTGTATAGTCATTATGTTATTTTTCTTGAAGCAGGAGATGTAAAAAGTGTGCAGTGTCCTCGCAGGGACTCGAACCCTGCATTTCTCGAATGTGCGTCGAGTATGCTTCCACTTGTATCGCAAAGGCATGCGGAAAATAGTGAGAAAATACCCTATGCACTCCTGCTTTTATAGGGCGACATAGCATCTTACTATTTTTTCAGTCAATCTTTTCTCATTTTATCATATAAGTGTTCAGTTTTCTTAGTAAGATGGCTTGGAAAACCTTCATTTTTCCTTTAATGATTAACCTTTATTTTAAATTTATAAACTAAATATCACATTCTTCGCACTTATGCCACATAAAAGTCAATTCAACAGCAAAATCACAATATTTATACATATATAAACACCAGCATAAATATACATACATACATGCAGATTTACCATTTTTAATTTCTTTACAAAAAACTACAGAACGATAATATTTAATGCCAGTGATTTGAAAAGTAATAAGACGTTTATAGTGGACGACGCAAAATCCTGTTTCGAGACAATAGCCCATTAGAGGTAACGCCATTAAGGTTAGGTTAGGTTAGGTTATTCAATTACGGCAAAGCCTCAAGGGCTATCTGTCTAAGGGGAGGGATGCCTTCGTGGAGGACTTTATAAAGGAAACTGGCTCGTATACACGTTATACATGGGGAAAACCACGAAAACACCCATGCAGCCAGCCCGTTCGCGGGATTCGAACCTCGGACCGAACTACCAGTGTTCAGCGACTTTATTGCTCGGCCGCTGGTGAGCCTAACGCCATTAAGGACATTTATTGAAAGCTAAACTGTACTGGTAACTTATCAGACTTAAACGTATATATCGTTAATGGACATTCTTACTGAGCTGGACATATCTACAATTTTTAGAAAGTGAAAGAGGACGAAAATCAGAACTAGCTGCTATCATTTTTCTCTAGACATTCCGCGTAATTACAACAAATTTACAACCATACTTACACATGTATCACAGAAGAAATACTTAGCTGTTAGCTATTGAATACATCTGTACAATTTTATGGACTCTTCAATTGCAGACCACCTAGTTAAACTGAACCTCACCGGAATGCCAACAGAAGATGATATTCTACAGGAATTATATGACATTATCGTAAGATGCTAAAATTTTTGTGCTTGAAAAATTTAAAATGAAATTTCTTTAAGATTTTCGGAATAGTAATTTCGTTTGAAGAAACATTAGTATTTTTTAATGCAGCTAAAACATCAAGAAATAAAAAATATCTTAATTTTGGGTAAAATTGTTCTTAATGTGGTTTCAGGAAGGAAGCAAGTGATGAATGGTATTGGTGAGATGATTCACGAAATAGGGGTAGAGGCTACCTTCCCAGACGGAACAAAATTGGTAAGATATTTTTGTTCATTAAATGATTAAATGATTATCCCTTTTTTATTACTTCCTTATACTAAGTATTGTAATCACAAAAATTTTTGAGTATTATATTTCAATGTAAACATCCATTTTAACGGTTCCCGAATTCATTTCGACGATTTTTTACGTAAAGTCTATACGTATGCACAGAATAAAGGAAACATTTTTTTAGTACGGAATGTAAAAGGGATTTAAAATGGATTCAAATGGGATTTTTTTTACTTCTGTTTGTAAGTGTGTATACATGTATGTAAACTCAAAAACGATTAGCCGTAGTAGACCATGAAAATTTTGTATATGGGGACTGCTATTACATCTAGTTGTGTGTCTCTCTTTTCTATGGGCAGTAGGACCATGCACATATTTACATATATATATATATATATAGAAATAGGTTAATAATGGCAATAAAATTGCCTAATACTTGCGCTAAAGCTGCAAAGTAGCAAAATAATAATTTATTTTCTAATAGATTATGTAGTGTATTATCTCCTTTGACAAAGTAGTTAGAATTCATGTATATATATATATGAATATATATATCCACCCCTACTCAGTTTACCCCTTACCAGGCCTTGATTTTCGCAATCGTTGGTCATAGTTATATGCATCCAATTACAGAAGTCTTTTAACCGACGAAAATAGTCATGTTTTGGCAACGTCAAATTTAAAATAAAAAATTTAATTATAAACAACGAAAACTAACTTTTAATACAGTCTCCCGGTTTCCATGCACATATTAGTGAAAGTTTTACATTCGCTATGAAATTAACAAAATTTAACCGGGCTACTTAATTTAAATATCTCTAATTTTTATGTCATGCTCATCTTGCTTTGAGGTCCTGGTTATTCAGGTTTTAATAATTCGAGAAATGAATTTAAATGAAATACAGCAAAAATATGATTAATTTAATATGACTTACAAGGAAATCATGTCCATATCAGATTTTTTATTAGTAATATATACAGGGTGAATCTAAACAAGAGGGCAAAACTTCAGGGGTGATAGAAGGCAGCTATATGAGCAATATTCGCCATAGAATGTATGGTCGGAAAGCAAGCGGTGAGAAGTTACAGGGTAGTTTTCTCTGTCATATTTAAAGAATTAACACAAGAATTAGAGGCGACAGTTCAGAAAACATTCTATTAATAGAATGTGCTCGCAGAAATTGCTCAAAAGACCTTCCACCATCTGTAACGCAGGCTTCACACTTGCGGGATAGAGACTGACGCACACTCGCGAAGACACCAGGCAATTCCAAAATATCGTCAGCCACAACGACGATTATGGCGACTAGGTCCATATTGATTTCAATGAGACACTTGTAGATTAGGCGTTTCATATGGCCCCACAGGAAAAGTCCAAACACGAGAGATCCGGTGATCTTCGTGGGCAAGATGTAGGACTACCTTCACCAATCCGTCACCCTGGAAATTATGCGGTTCGTATAACCAGCAATCCTCTCAACAATTCACTGTAGAAAGTGCCGTTATATGAGATGAATCACCCTTTTTATACCATTTATTTACAATGCCACCTAACGGCTCGCCGTTTGAGTTTCGACCATACATTCTATGACGAATATTGCTCATATATGTGCCTTCTATCATTCCCTAAAGTTTTTCCCTCTTGTTCAGGTTCACCCTGTACTACTGGTATTTTAATTATATTAGTTAAATACCTTAAAATAAGATTTTTCATAAAATGGTCGTTTTAAATTATAATTTAGAGTTTTAGTGTTTTAAATCAATCTCTTGTATATATCGTGACTGTCAGGTAAAGTTAATTATAAAGTTGAATATATGAATTATAGCTGTTAAAGTTTTCCGTTTCTATAAAATTTCATATGCTTTCTTCTGCGTGATTGCTGTTATCCAAACACAGGAAAGTAAACAGGGAACGCTTCATCCAGTCCCCAGAAGCAACAGGTCTGAAATGGATAAATGTACAGATCAAAATCGTAAAAACAACCTTGTATTTAGCGTAAGTATAATGAAACACTCAATCGATTTCGAGGGCAGCTAAAGGTCCCTCCTCATCAGGAGAAAGAAATACCTAGAAAGAAGAAAATAAAGGAGAAGGAGTCTCAGAAACACGTGGTCCTTATCAGCACTGCACGTGGTTATAACTGGATTTTTAATCAGAGTTGCACTGGCCGCCTACTTTTACTGAGCCAGGCTATCTGATCAAGCATAAAGGACAAGAAAAATTAGCGAAGTTAAAATAGGGAGCGAGGGGCAAAGGCGCCTTCACGCTCAAAATCTGAACTTCAAATAATAGAAAGCAACCACTAAACGGATTTTTATACCCTCTGGTAGTACCAAACGCGAGGAGGTAACGCCATCTATCGGCAAAAATAACTGAATTAAGATAGTAGAATTTTAAAGGCATTAGGAAGGACTGGATTGGACTTCAAATCATTAACTAAACCTGCTAAATCTTTGTGAATGTGAAAGGGTTCAAGAAAATCCAATTCACCTATGGAAGAAGCCTTTTGGATAATTTTTTGCAGACCCAAAGTCAAAATTATGGTTAAATGTCCAACTATGATACGCTATTGAAGACTTGTTAATTTCGCCTTTTCTGACATAATATTCATGTTCCTTGATACGAAACTTCAACGCTCTTTTTGTTTGGTCAATATATCTTAAACCACACTGACACGATATACTATAAATTCCCCATGAATTCAAGACAGAAACGCAATCTTTTAGAATCGAAGGGCGAATTTTATTAATAGGGGAGAAACCGACTTGAAAATTGAATTTCTGGAGAGTCCGTGCAATTTTATAGCTAACAGAAGGATAAAATGGAAGCACGACAAGGTCATTAATATTATTTCTAACAGTGGAATGTCTTTGATGGGAATCTGAAAATTTTTTAACGGCTTTATCAATAATCACGGGAGAAAATCCACGGTCAATCGCAACTGCTCTCAAATAATTAAGTTCATTTGTAAGCAAAGATTCAGAGGAACAAACTGTAAGCGCGCGGAATAAATAATAGCAAAAAGAAGCCATTTTTTGCTTAACAGGGTGGCATGACTTGGCATGGGGTGGTAAACAAACTTCAAAGGGTTTACGGTACACAGTGGTGGTAAAATCAGTTTCACTGCGGATTATAAGAATATCAAGGAAGGGGAGGGAATTGTTGGATTCAATTTCAAGAGTGAATTGGATGGCTGGATCAATTAAATTCATAATAGATAGAATCTCGGATAAATCCTCTTTATAACCGTCCGAAAGTGCGAAAGTGTCGTCAACATACCGAATCCAAAGACGAAAAGATAGTTTATCAAATAATTTCATCTCAAAATAGTCCATATAAATGTTAGCAAGTACCGGACTAAGAGGATTACTCATAGCCAATCCTTCAACTTGACGAAAATATGCATTTTGGAAAACAAAGTGGGTTTGACTTAGAGAAACTCAGAAATTCAGAGAGTTGGTTTCGCTTACTAAAGTTTCTCTAAGTCAAACCCACTTTGTTTTCCAAAATGCATATTTTCGTCAAGTTGAAGGATTGGCTATGGGTAATCCTCTCAGTCCGGTACTTGCTGACATTTATATGCACTATTTTGAGATGAAATTATTTGATAAACTATCTTTTCGTTCTTTGGATTCGGTATGTTGACGACACTTTCGCACTTTTTGACGGTTATAAAGAGGATTTATCCGAGATTCTATCTATTATGATTTCAATTGATCCAGCCATCCAATTCACTCTTGAAATTGAATCCAACAGTTCTCTTCCCTTCCTTGATATTCTTATAATCCGCAATGAAACTGATTTTAGCACCGCTGCGTACCGTAAACCCTTTGCAGTTTGTTTACCACCCCATGCCAAGTCATGCCAATCTGTTAAGCAAAAAATGGCTTCTTTTTGCTATTATGTATTCCGCGAGCTTAAAGTTTGTTCCTCTGAATCTTTGCTTACCAATGAACTTAATTATTTGAGAGCAGTTGCGATTGACCGTGGATTTTCTCCCGTGATTATTGATAAAGCCGTTAAAAAATTTTCAGATTCCCATCAAAGAAGACATTCCACTGTTAGAAATAATATTAATGACCTTGTCGTGCTTCCATTTTAGCCTTCTGTTGGCTATAAAATTGCACGGATTCTCCAGAAATTCAATTTTCAAGTCTGTTTTTCCCCTATTAATAAAATTCGCACTTCGATTCTAAAAGATTGCGTTTCTGTCTTGAATTCATGGGGAATTTATAGTATATCCTGTCAGTGTGGTTTAAGATATATTGACCAAACAAAAAGAGCGTTGAAGTTTCGTATCAAGGAACATGAATATTATGTCAGAAAAGGCGAAATTAACAAGTCTTCAATAGCGTATCATAGTTGGACATTTAACCATAATTTTGACTTTGGGTCTGCAAAAAATTATCCAAAAGGCTTCTTCCATAGGTGAATTGGATTTTCTTGAGCCTTTTCACATTCACAAAGATTTAGCAGGTTTAGTTAATGATTTGAAGTCCAATCCAGTCCTTCCTAATGCCTTTAAAATTCTACTATCTTAATTCAGTTATTTTTGCCGATAGATGGCGTTACCTCCTCGCGTTTGGTACTACCAGAGGGTATAAAAATCCATTCAGTGGTTGCTTTCTATTATTTGAAGTTCAGATTTTGAGCGTGAAGGTGCATTTGCCCCTCGCTCCCTATTTTAACTTCGCTAATTTTTCTTGTCCTTTATGCTTGATCAGATAGCCTGGCTCAGTAAAAGTAGGCGGCCAGTGCAACTCTGATTAAAAATCCAGTTATAACCACGTGCAGTGCTGATAAGGACCACGTGTTTCTGAGACTCCTTCTCCTTTATTTTCTTCTTTCTAGGTATTTCTTTCTCCTGATCAGGAGGGACCTTTAGCTGCCCTCGAAATCGATTGAGTGTTTCATTATACTTACGCTAAATACAAGGTTGTTTTTACGATTTTGATTGTCACATTAGCGTGTTTCTCTTCTAGTCTAAATGTACAGATATTTTTAATTAAAATTACATACCGAGAAATCCGTATAGTAGTTTGATAATTATTTGTAAAAACGAACTTGGCCAAGTACAAGTCTGTGGAATTAAATCCAGTTTGCCTTTTTCGAAAGCACTTTATTTACTGTTCTTAATTCCTGCAGGCTCATTGCATCTAAAATCTGTAATAATAACTATTCAATATTTTGTGTTTTTGCCGAAAATCTATCAGTATCTGAGAAATATTTTTATAGCATCCTTTTATTTAAGTTTAAAGATTATTGTAGCAAAAGTAAAAACTGTTTTGTATTTTTATAGGTTACCCTATCACATCCAGTTTGCCGTGAACATGGTAATCTTACTTTGGCGTTGTATGGAAGTTTTCTACCTGTTCCAGATACAAGCATATTCGTTACGGTAAATAGAAATATATATTTTAATACCGTAATGGTAGTTTCATTATGCTTAATCTTTGAAGAAGACCGATCCTCGTCGGTATTGTTGCGAATTTCGTACATAGATAGATTATTTAGTGCAATTCTATGTGAAATCATTGCATTTTTGTCTGTAATATAACAAAACAAAATCAACATATAGAAGCTCTGCCAGAAAAGTAATAATACAGGGGCAAGTCCATTTAACATTAAGTAATGGGTATCTCGGTAATTTGGCAAGATATTTTCAAGCTGGCAACGTTTTGGTGACTAAATTTTTTCGCCAAACTTGGCGATCATTTGGTGACATTTTGGTCTAGTCCCTGTATCATTGTAACAGATAGTAATTGAATTAATGTAATTGCTTACTATATTAGCTTTAACAGTAATTGGCCTTGCATATTGCTTTCCAATAATCTCGACAAACAGAAAGTTCTAGAAATTTCTCGGCGGCGGAGTGAAAATTACATAAGGCCGGAGAAAGCATCTGTTCTCATTTGTTATTGTTGCTGTTAGCTGTTGGTTCAGCGTAAGTTCTGAGTACTGAGATAGATTTTTCTCTTTTCTCTCTTATCCAAGTAGATTTCTCTTTACTTGCGCTTTATATTCAGTTGTGTTTAACGTTCATAGTAGTTTTGAAGTGTAAGAAATGATTGTACTCTATTTTACGACTATTTCCGTGGAAAGTTCTAGAACTCTAAAGTGTTTCTTTTGATAAAATAAATTTTATCAACTTATCATTGGACCTGTGTGCATTCAATCTATTACGAATCTATATGCACGCAAAATATTTATTCTTTTTTGACACAAAAGAGTGTCTTTATAAATTGCTATTTACAAAGTTAAATCTTCAACTACCTGTTGTAGTATTTAAGTAGAGTCACATAAAGATCAGATTAAGTATATGTCAGCCACTTCTAATAATCTCAGGGTGGGTATGTATTTTTCATTGACTAGTTCGACTACGAAGAAGCATATTTTCTGGTTGTCAGATTTTACCTATATAAATATACCTTTTATAAGAGCTGCATATTTTTATTAGCGATTATCCATCCCTTAAATTGGAAATATGGATTTACTAGCAGTCGTTTGAAGAGATCTAGCATCGCTCAATTATTTTGGAATATGCAATAATAAGTTTCTTCATTTGCATTGATTAATGATTTAGAAACTCTTAAACAATCACACTGTGACTTTTCTTCATTTTTTAATTCGTACATCTTCACTAAATGCAGGCCACAACGATAAATGTGATTGAACGCGTAACGCTTATTGTGAGTTCTGTCTCTCATTTATTAAACATTTCTACTTTTAATCTTGAGCAAAAAAAGTGCATTATGGCACGAAAAACCAAATTTTTTGAAGCAAAATGATGACATAAAAATGATTCTGCTAAGGTTTCATACCGCATTTTGTTTTCTAAGATTTCCTTGTAAAATGCGTTCACCTCTTTGGCAACGAATAATCCAGAAATATTGAATATATTTCGTTAAACGTTATTTCGATTTTAAAGTTGCTCTAAAATCCGGGTATTTAAGAATCCAGGATGCATAACTCTGAAAACTGAAATTAAAACGCAAAATGAATCATCTTTAACAAAATTGGAAAAATGGCAGCTGTTACTCATTTCTGAGTTCCGAAATGACTCTGCATATAATGTATCACAACCACTTTTCATCCAGATTAATAGGAAATAGAAAATTAAGAGCGGCGTATTTATGTAAATAAAAATGTGTTATAGCTTGTTCTTAATCGTAATGAAAGAGCTGTTCTTTTTATTCTTCAACTTCAATATTTCTCTGCTGTAAATTTTTGTAACATTACGGCTTAGCCAAAATCGTAATACTTTATCAAAGTAAATGATTCCTTTTTTTATAAAGCGAACGAATGATCTTTGAAATTGAGCTACATGATTAGACATAAGGTTATGAAACAGAACGTGTTTCATAAAATTCTTAATGTCAGCTGTACTGAACATCAGCATAGTAAATAGCTCTAGTTGCTCGTCTTTCCTTTCCAAAACATGTTTCTACTTCAGAAGTACCTATACCTGTATATCTTCAGAAGTACTAGGTATAATCTATCTATATGTGATAACCTTCGAAATCAATTGAGTTTATATTCAAAATCTAAACTCATTTCTTTTTTGCGTAATTTTAAATTTCGGTAAGAGATTTAGTAGTAATGTAATTGTTATAGCATATATAAATGTAAGATAAAAATATATAAATTAGTTTTATAATTTAAATTAGTAATACCCTCTTAATTCCTCATTTTTAATTTGGTTATTTCCTCTTTAATCTAAAAATAATAATAGCATTCCTGAACTGCCTCATTTCTAGATTAATCTATGCTAGAGCTTGCGTAACGCTTATGACGTAGTATTTCGGAACCTAAACATTCTAACGTAAACCAAAACCAACCTTCCTAGAGCTGACATATTGGAAAAAAAAATCTGATGTGTACACCACATGACTTCCTTGTATCGGAATATTAATTTGGAATATTAAATTATACGCATTTTTTCTTGCATTTCATTTACACTTATTGGATTGAATTAAATCTACTTCGCCGACAGCGCATAAACCATAATAGAATAAATGCATTCTTTAAAATTGACTTTTGTATTTGTGTACCATAGCGACACTCTGGCGCTAGATTCACTTAACAGTATTAATAATTATATAACAGTTAACTTATATATTTCGTTCATATTATAACTCATAATGCACAAAATTTATATCATTTCAAAAATAGAATTATCTAATCTTTGCCACATGTTCCATTCAAATGCTATAATAAAGCTAGAATGATGTATAAAAGAAATTAAGCAAACAAAACAAAAAAGAAACAGTTTTTCACAGACGATTGAGTATTTCTCATTGAATTAATTCAGTTCTCACTTCGCGAGAAGGCAAAAATACATAAAAACTCAAAATATCTATATTAAAAATTACGAAGTAAATCTTAAACGCTTATTTCCTCGAAAAAATTCTAGAAAGGATTAAGCATGATTTAAATAATAAATGAAAGGCGTTATCTTTGTTGTTGCGAAGCTAAGTTTCTCTAGATTGGCAACAAATCCACTAGTCTACTGTTTCAAATATAAACATCAATGGCCGCCATTAAAAATGGCTTAGCGGCAATTAAACAACTCTAAAATTGCTGATAATTCTAAAAATATTGCACACATATTTACTAAAGGCATAAAATCCTTAATCGGAAGAGAAAAACAACATAATTCAATAATTTTTAAAGCAAAAAATGTATAATTTACCAACATATAAGAGTAAAGAAACTGAGATCACTGAGCCGGTAACAGAGTGGATATATATATAAATATATCTATATACGTTTGGTGCGGCCGATTACAACCAAAATACGAGGTGCATATCTACATGTTATAGAAGTCCTATATACAAAATTTCAACGTTCTGAGGCTACTCGTTTTTGAGTTATGCGAGATACGTACGTACGCATGCACGTACGTACATACGTTCGTACAGACGCCACGAAAAATTCTCTTCAGAATTAATTTTAAAGCAGTTGTATAATTTTTTTGAAGGAAAAGAGTCTTTTATCTGTCCTTACGCACAGATATCATGCAAAAAATTGTTAAATTAACAAAATTAAATTGCATTCGATAGCGGTCAAAATGGATATTTTCGTTGAAAGATGCTGCCTCTAACGTTTCGCGATTACAATTCTTCCTTTTTACTTCGTACAAGGAAGTAAAAAAGGTCATCTTCACTTGTAACTATGTCGCTGCTTAGACACTGTTTCGATGTGCTCTGTTCCTGTCGCAAATGTATAAAAATTTTAAACGTTCTGATAATAGGCACGATTAGAGTGCCAAGTGAACTGTGGCTATAAACGTGGATTTTAATAAAAGTGGAATTAAAAGTGCCTCGACTGCCAAATTTCTTATTCATTGTGAATCGGCCTTTTCAATATTCTACGCAATCAGTATTCTTCCTCCTCAATATGGATCTACGTTCTACGCCAAACAAAAACCCTGTAGCCAGTCCTTTCGCCGGTATTCGATTCCAGGTCGAACTTCCAGTGTTCATCGACGTTATCGCTTGGGCGCTGGTATACCCTGCAAATATAAATGACTCAAAGAAATGTATTGACATAGCACTAGTATCCAGTAGGATTAATGTCCATTTCTTTGCAATTCCGACGAAAAAGGTAAAAATAGAAAAATTAAACAAAATGCTAAGTTATTTACAAACTATTTTCTACATTACCGTATGCAATTTTATCCTTTTTATGTCAAAATTTGCTTTGTAACTTGTATTAGAATACACCATAGTTTTGATTGCAATATCCGATATTACTTGTAGCTAATTAATTATGATCATTTCATTTAATTCTCATAATGGGTGATTGTTTTTTTTCAACGGCCATCCTGAAGAGTGTTTAGAGAATTCTCATGGAGGGCATTTTAGCAGCCCTACACTGAGTATGAAAAATTTCGAAACCTCTGTAATCGCTTTAGTAGTAGCGAAGTAATTATGACAATTATGTGATGACGTGTAGTATTATCTAATATAGTTATGTTAATATATAAATTAAAGTTTGTATGCAATGAAAATGTGAAGATGGTTTGGCAAATCTACGTCACCGAGCATACTTGAGACGAACCGAAGTGCCAAAGCAACAAAACACCAATATTATGATCACAAAGACAACTATTTGTTAGAACAACCGAATAGTGCAATACTATTGAATAATACAGTATCATTAAAGATGATAACAATGATATTGTGTGAGAGAGAAATGGCACAGTTGAAATTTTCACCAGTTGGAAATGGCACAGAAGAAAATTAGCTCTTAACATTTTGTCTTGCATTAAATGTTATTTTTCTCGGTGCAAATGATAATTACTTGCTTTATGCAATGCAGACATTTTGCTTAACAGCGTGATTTTCCTGAGTATGGACGAACAAACTGAAGACCTTTGCAAAAAATGGTAGTCGGTTTCGTTCAAGATTCATTGACTTATTTTATGCTTTGGTAAGATATTACTGCAGCCTCTTGTTTTCTTAATACTACGAAACAGAGACGAAAGCAAAAAGGACAAAGAAAGGTCGAGCAGTTAGCAGTAAAAAAGGAAAAATGTCCTTATTTACGATCGAACTTAGGTGAATTTCGAACTAGAACTCTAACATCGGTGTGTGTATTATTGCATTTTCTTCTTTACTAAGCGATTACATGGTGTCTCAAAAGGTCATTGCCAAACTTAACATATTGATTTATCATACTATGAAAAAGAAGATTTTTTATAGGAACTTGTCCGAAAATGCGAACGGCGACCACTAGAGGGCAGGAGAGCGGGAAGAGTGATCATTTAAGGCGAGAACGTTGCAGGAGCAGGATGAATCGGTTTACTAACTCAGAACTCGCGGAGGATTGGCAAAGGCGGAACAGTCACATGGCCACCGCAGTCTCCCTACTCTCTCCTCGATTTCTACCTCTGGGGATACATAAAGGTCCATGGTGTACGAGATGACTGTAGCATTAGACACAGATTTCATCGCCAGAATTGTTGAAGGGGCGGCACGTGCTCGTGACACACCTGCCCATTTTGCACGGGTTCATGAATCCATGCATCGATGCTATGAAGCATGCATTGTGGTGAATGGAAGGAATTTTGAACATCTTCTGAGATTTAACAACGTTCTTCAATAAAAGTCATAGTAACACCTCTTTCGACATTCTTTCTTTCTTCCCCTCTACGCCTGCAAACACTGCACTCTAACGGTCGACGTTTCCATATTTGGACACTAGTTTCTATGTAAATCTTGTTTGCTATGGTATGACAGACCAGTATAATAAGTTCGGTAATGACCTTTTGAGACACCCTGTTAAGGATTAGTAATATTTGTTTTGAGTTATATTCCTAAAATTCAGCTGTTTATTTAAGTGACAAGTGTTTCAGAAGGAAGACCTGAATGAAGATCCAAGAATGAAACGCAGCCCTCCAGGCAGCATATACCCAAAGAAGGATGAACCTGTTATTTACATCAATAAAGGCAAAAAACGAACTGCTTTAGAAGTAGTCAGTGTATGCGACAGACCAATACAGGTAATTTTTATAATTATTAAGTAATTTGTAGCTACCTTTCTTGATATACAGGGTGAATCTGAACAACTGGGCAAATCTACGGGTTGATAGAAGGCAGCTGTACAAGCAATATTCGTCATAGAATGCATGTTCAGAACGCAAGCGGTGAGAAATTTATAAGGTATTTCTCCCGCCTTCTTAGCATGTCTTCGTGGTGTGGTCTGCACGCTGGGTGCGTATTCCAGAGGCATTTGTTCGATTCGCTGCGTAGGTGTTGCTAATTTTTCTTCTCTGCAGCTTCAAAAATAATCCTTATGTCTCTACAGTGGCGCCCGAACTAAAAGGGTGTTGGATGATGATTCTCCGTACACAGGTTTTGGTATTTGGGTCCTCTAAAACCTCTAAAACCTTTAAAATTTTAAAGCTCATTTCTCACTTCTTCCTGTTTGTAAAACAACCTAATGTATCTACAAGTTAAAGGGTAGTTTTCCACTGTCACACTTAAAAAATTAACACAAAAAGGAGAGGAGAGACTTCAGAAAATATTTTAGTAACAGAACATGCTCACAAAAGTTGCTGAAAAGATCTTCAGCCAGTTGCAATTCAAGCTTCACACCTGCGGAATCGAGATTGATGCACATTTACGAAGACAACAGGCATTTCTAGAGTATCGCCAGCAAGAACGGAGATCCTGGAGAGTAGATCCATATTGGTTTCAGTGGGGCACTTGTACATTAGGCTTTTCATATACTCCCGCAAGAAAAAGGCCAAACACAAGAGATCCCTGGATCTTGGTGGCCAACCTATGGGACCACCTTGACTAATCCATTGCCCTGGAAATTTCGTGTTTCATATCATCAGCAATCCTCTGGGCAATTCACGGTAGAAAATGCAGTTGTATTTATTTACAATGCCACCTAGCGGATCATCCTTTGCGTTCCGCGCATGCATTCTATGACAAATATTGCTCGCCTTTTGTCACCCTCTAACGTTTTATCCGCTTATCTTGCACAATGTAAAGAAAATATACGTGGTAGTACAGAGATATGTCTTTTATATTTATATTCTCCCACTTGCATAATCATTAATAATCTCTCAATAGTAAAATATGGCATTTCGATCGCATGGGAATTATTCTATGAAACTCTTTAAGGAAATCTGTTTCACTTTATTTTCTCCAATATTGCTTAACTAATTTTCTGGCTGTTATGTGAGATATAACTGACAAATTGGATATAGTAATTTCTACATCAATATACTTCGGTAATCAATTGAATATGTTCAGAAATATTGCCATTTCAAAAACAGATTGATGTTTTTATATTATAAAATTTAGAATGATATAAACACATAACTTTATTTTGGGACATATATGCTTCACTTATAAAAAGTAATTTTTGCAATAAATGAGCAAGATTTTAGAATTGTTTAATATTTTGCTTCTGAAATCAATTTCTTTAAATCAGAGAACAGCTTCTGTAAATTAAAACATTATTATATACATTTGTACATTTGGTCTTTAAAATCCTTTTCTTGCTGTCTTGAATATTCATTATGCGTATAAATTACGTGAATTGGAACACCCAAAAATTGTACTTAAAGACTGCTGTTGCTTTTTACATACCAAATGTATAGACTTCACCCAGCAAACAATTAAACTAAATACTTAAATGTCATAAACGGTTTGATTTGGTTTAGTTTATTAAAGCAAAGAACACAAGGGCTATTTGCCTGAAGGCAGGAATGCCTTCGTGGATAATTTTCTAAAGGGAACTGGTTCGTAAACATGGCTAGTATGGAGAAAGCCATGCAACCAGCCCATTTACCCGGAATCGAACCCAGGTTGGAACTACCATTGTTCAGCGATTTTACCGCTCGACAGCTAGTGGACTGTCATAAACGGACTTCTTAGTTTTGAAATAAATAAATGAAAACGATAATATCCAATGAATAGCATTTAAAACCAAATTCGTTTCCTTTTAAATAATTCCCATCTTTACCCTTCTAGAATTTGATAAAAGCTTACGTAAAAGTGGAATTTGTAGAATGACTGGATATAACAATTTTTTTTCACATAAACTCATTTGCTTTTGTCATTCTTTGCAGATAGGAAGTCACTACAATTTTATTGAAGCAAATAAGCATCTCGTGTTTGACAGAGCTCAATCATATGGAATGAGACTGGTAAGGATATGTTCACTCCTTTTCTCTATGTAGAAAAAAAAAAAAAAAAAGACTGAAAGCTTTCAGATTTTGTATTACGCCCAAAGGGACGATTGTTTTAATTTACATACATATACACGTTTGCAGAGTTAGCTTCAAAATATTTAAAAACAGCCTATCTTTAGGATTTCCGATAGACATTCAAACGCACTGGAGTTAAGAATGCTATTTCCCGTACCAAGTTGCCAATGTCGCTTTGAAATCATTGATTCTGTTGATCAAAAATTTGTTAAAGTTTTACAAAATATGAAATAGATGGTAAAACAGTTTCGAAATTACAAATTCGGGCTTCCAGGTGTTCAAATTCGGGTGGAGGATTACGTTATTCAAAACTGATGGCGCTAGATATCATTGCTTATTCACAATGCGAAAAACATGCATACGTTCATGCAAATTCTTCAATATTTAATTTCGTTAAATAAAGTACAGATCGATAATTTCTGATGGCAAGAATTTGAAGAGAGATTCAAAAAAAAAAAAAAAAAAAAAAAAATTAGGGAAGAGAGAGAATTTTACTTTTACATTTTTATTTACGTTTTGTTTAGTAAAATGTTTCCTAAATAAAAGTGAGGTGTCTCTACCTGCAGATATACTTAAACAGATATTTCTGTGTTCAATGAACTAATAAACAACAGGAAATTCTAAATGTCAAAATTCTCTAAGCTTAACTCCATATCGATAATGTAATCCAGGAGTAAAAATTCTTGTTAAAAATGTAGCTAATGAGTTTTATTATAAATTAATGATTATACCACATCTTAACTGAGTTTAAACACTGACATTTTTAAAAAAATGTTGTAACATTAGAAGTCGAATTTCATTTCACATTAAAGATGTTTTGCCTGACTGCCTTTCATGAATTTCAAAGAATCATTTTTATAGAAAAATATAAACAATCCCAAATTCCACACATAAAGTCATTTGTCCTGTCACTATCACGTACACTGCGGAAAAAAAAGGGGGGACAGTTTATATCTCCCTCTGGGCCGGTTGACGAAATTGAACTTGCGTTTTTCATGTCTCGAAAGCGTGACTTAGGATATGTATTACATTCATATATAGCATTGTTCTAATATAGGTATTTTGACACCAAATCGGACTTTTTCTGAAATAACTTGCTAATTGTTTTCCAAATTTCGATTCTACGGCTAAAATTATGCCAAACTGTCAAGTTCTGTAAAAATCGCACCTTAACCATAACAGAAAGATTTTTTTTAATGTGAAATGCCTCTAGAAAATCCACTTCATCAATGGAAGATATTTTTTGAATATTTTTGGCTACAGAAAAATTAAAAGTGTGATTTTCGGATTTCAAAAAAATCTTTCTGTTTTAGTTAACGACCCTAATTCCAATCCATCTTTGCCTTCAGCCTTCAAAGAAATTATGTTTTAGTTCTGGTTTCATCAACAGATGGCGCCAGTAGCTTGACGCTTGTCTGTTCTTTCTTATCTTTTCTTATCTAATCACTATATCTTATCTTGTTCATTTGAGCTTTTAAGCTGAGGATAATAGTTCGGTAAAACCATCGAAACTAGTCCTGTGAAAATTTGAAAATATAACGCTGATTTTTGTTGTTTGACTTCTGAATTGAAATTTAACTGTTAGTCAAAAAAAATCAATAAATCTTCCAGTTGCGTAGCGAGTGGGGCGCAAAGGGGTGTATGATGCCCCGGGTGCCGCTGGCATAGGGGCGCCAAATGGTCTCCAAACAAGATTTTCATCATATCACTGTGTTTATTTCGGGGGGGGGCGCCAAAGAGGTATTTTGCCCCGGGCGCCAGTTATGCTCGCTACTCCAGTGAAATCGTCACAAATAATTAGCTTCAAATCTGAATAACACTCACATACACAAAAAATATTGAAATGAAATTTGGATACTAAGCTTATTTAAAACTATAGATTTTTGTACACGTGCATAAAACATAGAACCAATTGCTATAATTACGTTTTTAATCTAATTAGTTTAGTTACGCAGCTCTATAGAGTGTCATAATTTTGTATTTTGTATAAGATATTGTTAAATTTTATTCTTTCTCATTCATTGATTGACGGCACTCGAAACAATAAATATATGTCAATGAAAACATTTTATGATTGTTAATATATATTTAATTTCAGGATATTCCAGCAGGAAATGCTGTGAGGTTCGAGCCTGGAGAAGTGAGACAAGTTACACTAGTTGAAATTGGTGGCAATAAGTAAGACTGAGATCCTAATATATTTTATGATTTTAAAAGTAGTTAAAACATATCAAATAAGGAATATTGTAATATATTTTCCGACACTATTAATAAAATAAATTTTAAATAAAAGTCACATTATAAGAGAACATGTCTCTGCAACTTTAGAAAAAAAAAATCCTGCTTAATTATATTTCTCAGTGTCGTACATGATCGGTGCAATAACTCGTAGATCTGTAAAGTAACTTAAACTCATTATTTCTAATATCATCTCATCATCTTGATGTATTCTGACATTGATCGTTCCAATTACTGATAGATCTGTGAAATAACTTTAGTTATTTCACATATCACTATGGTCACTAAGATGATAAGATCTATCAGTAATTGGTAAGTCAGTATTTCTAATATCATCTTATCATCTTGATGTATTCTGACATTGATCGTTGCAGTTACTGATAGATCGATCACTAAAATCACTAAGATGATAAGATCTATCAGTAATTGGTAAGTCACTATTTCTAATATCCTCTTGATGCATTCTGACATTTATGTTGTTACAAGATCGGTGTTATAACCGTACAGGTTCGGTGCAGTATCTGATAAAACTGTGAAATAACTTCAAGTCACTATTTCTAATTTCGTCTCACCAGCATTCTGACATTTATTTCGTTACAGAATATGTACAATTCAGGATCGATGCAATAACTCATGGATATGGAAAAATAAATTAATGTCCCTATTTTTGATACTATCTTATCATCTTTTTGTGCATTCTGACATTAAGGTTTTACAGGATTGGTGAAATAACTGGTGGATCTGGGAAATAACTTGAAGTCACTATTTCTAATAGCATCTTACCGCCTTGATGCATTCTGACATTTATGTTGTTATTATGTCGGTGTTGTTGTATTTATGTCGGTGTGATAACCGTACAGGATCAGTGCAATAACAGATAAAATTGTGAAATAACTTCAAGTCACTATTTCTGATTTCATCTTATCAGCTTGATGCATTCTGACATTTATATCGTTATAGAATATGTGCAATACAATATCGAAGGAGCGAGTTTTATCAGCTCACTTTCCATTCTATTCTTCATATTCAGATGTTCTCCTCGTCAAGCACATTCCTTCAGGTTATAAGTTATATGAAGAGTAATTGACTGAATTGCCGTCAGGTTTCAGGCCTGTAATTCTAGATCCTAAGCATTTTCATACAGCTTGTGTTGCGTTGTCCGAAATTCTCAGGAATTTCTGCAAAATCTAGCTATTAATGCAAACTCCCATAGATTTAGCAATGTTGACTAATGTTGATAATCGTGAATCTTACTTATTTAGTCTCTCGTATGTGCGTTGTATCTCTTTGTCGGTCCCTTCCTGCGTTTTCAGAAATGTCATTAGTCTTTCTAAACCAACTTTGCAAGCGAATCTTCATATTTTTGTTTCGATGATTATCTTATGGTCAGGGCTTAATTTGCGAAAATTGCTAAAATTTCTAAAATTGCGAAGTGCCGGAGCCCTATGGCAGACCGTCAGAAAAGAAGAAAAAAGTAAGTAAATAAATAAATAAAATGACTCTTAATAATTTTAAAATTAAATATTTATTGTTATCAAATTAATTAATAATTAGTATTTAATATTAATATTTTTAATTAGATAAAAAAAATAGTTTAATAATTTAAAATTAATAATTAAAATCATGATTTAACTAAATACATTTATTATTATTTATATAAATGTAAAGAGATAAATTAAATGTAATAAGCGATTTTTAATACAATTTTATTGAAAACAATAAAACTTTCGAGATTAAATTTCTACTGAAAACATTGTTCAGTTACATAAAAGAAGTACCGGAGCATTCTTATTTAAGGCTCCGGCGCAATTTAAGCTCTGTTTATGATATTCTAATCGGAATATTCAAACAATTACTACGTATTTATTTACCACAGCATGACTTTTCAATGCTTTAGATTTGAATACAAAAACAATTCGCAAATACGATCGTCATCTTTTATTCTTCATTCTGTCTATTAAAATACTTCTGTATTCGTATTTTAATAGGCATGAAGAATAAAAGATGATAAATGAAACATAAAGTTTACACTGTACCTTCTGATTCTTTCAGGCCTACGATTTATGAAGTACCGATGCATTCGAAAATCTTTTTGCCTTCATGGATCATTAGACGCTTTTTCTTTTCTTTTTTAGCCCAAAGGGGCAATTCACACAGAAGGGTTATTAATTTCGTTTTGGCATTTTCCGTTGATTCACTACAAACGGCGAATTACCTTTTAAATTGCTGCCACCAAATATTAGAGCCGTGTATTATATTTAAAGAAAAATGAAGAATCTGCATGAACGTATGTATGTTTCTAGCACTGTGATAAAAGAACAGTACCTAAAGCCATCAAATTTTGAATAATGCACATCTCCACTTGAATATGGGCATCTGGAAACCCAAAATTAGAATTTGGAATTTCTTTTATTCCAAATCCTTTCTCTTTCATATTTTGTAAAGCATTTATGAATTTTTTATTCAGAGACTCAACGATTTCAAAGCGAGGAATGGCAGCACTGTACGGAAAAAATCATTTTTATCTCCAGCGCGCGATCTGTGTATCGGAAATTCTAAACATATGCTCCTTTAAATATTTTGTGATATTGCTGTTGATTTGAATTTAATGGTTTAAATGTGAAGAACATGATATTTAATAAATAAAGGTAACACGCAAAACGTTAAAAAAAGCCCCTCTGGAGTAATATGAAAGCTTTCAAATTTATTTATTTATTTATTTTTTGAACAAATCAACTGCTATCTTGAATAATGTTTCTTTCAATTTATACGCCTTCGCTAAGGGAAAAGAAACCCATTAATTTAGTAAATGTATATATTTCTTTAACTTAGGATTGTCAGAGGAGGCAATGGTTTATGTGACGGACTCATCCATAATTGTAATCTACGAAACGTTATGCAAAAGATCGCTGACCAGCATTTTGGAAACAAAGTTCAGGTAAAATAATGTGACTGTTTTTATAACATGAAAATGGCCTTAACATGAACACATTTCAGTATTTCAATGAAAAAGTAATGCGCGATTATGATTTTTAATCATCTTTCTCATTTTAAATGATTATTTTTGGCATCACAAATGATAATTTTTTTTTTCTTTTCATCCAAAAGGGGCTCAGTAGGGTTATTAATCTCGAAACGAAATTTTACGTTGAATCAATTAAATGCAATGTAACACTTTTCAGATTGTTGCCACCGAATATTATCGCCTGTATTATATTTAAAGAAACTAAATAACGAGGAACCTGCATGAATGTATGTATTCTTCTCATATTGTTGAAAAACGACGGTACCTAGAGTCGTCAAATTTTGAATAACATCGTTGTTCCCCCGAACATTGTACCTGGAAGCTCGAATTTGAAATTTCGAATTTGTTTTATTGTCTATTTCATATTCGCATATGGAAACCCGAAATGAAATTTCGAATTTGTTTTAGTGTCTATCCCATATTCTGTAAAAACTTTAACGAATTTTAGATTAAAAAACTCAGCAATTTCAAAGTGAGCAATGGCTACGCTGTAGGGAATGGAACATTTTTATCCCCAGCGAGCGAGACTGTCTATCAGAAATTCTAAAAATATGCTGTTTTTAAATATTTTTAGTTCAAATTAGTGTTAGCCCAAAAGCCCTCGAAGCGTGTATGTGTCTGTAAATATAATAGAACGCCCGTTAAAGCGTAATATAAAATCTGAAACCTTTCAGAATTTTTTAATAATTGTGTATAAAATTTTTACAATCAAAACGTAAAGGAATTGAGAGATGGAATTTATACTTTTGGGCAGAATACGCCTTTCTTTCCTTTGTTGACATTACAAATATCTTTAGCGAAGCAGATCCGTTTTTTAGGCCCCATACTTACATATGACACATTGTATATCGATATTAGGGCTGTAAATTTTAGCCCGTTATCAATGAATGCAAAAGTGATTGTGCCGTTAGAAACCATCTTTAGTGTGGTAAGTCTAATTTTTCAGGCAAAAGTCATGACCTGATCTTAAGCAAAGTTACTGAAGTGTTACCTGCGATGTAATCTTGGATTAACGCTGAAATTACAACAATTTTTCACACACGAGGAGAAAAAAAATGAGATATTTATAAGCAATCTTAATAATAATTTGATATTCTGTCACAAAAACTTGATTAAGACAACATTTGCTCTCTTAGCCGCGGATTAATTTCTCTTCTATTTGAAAACAAGATAATAAATTTGATGTTAGGGGCACCTTTTGAGAATTTAGTCTTAAAGAAAACTCGTCATTATCGTGTGCATAGTAATAAACTAGTAATAGTTATAAATTAGCGCATAGTAATTTAAATGACTAAGTTAAAAGAAATGTTTTTTTTAAGAAAAAATAATTAAAAGAAATAGATATATAACAGTGCAATCCGTTTATTTTCGAAAAAAAAACATCGAATAAAATAAAAATATATCATATTAAGAGTCTATATATTAATTAATCACATATAATAATGTCATTGTAAATTCTTTTATCCGTTTTAACTGTGTTTCAGGAATTCCAGTTGGCAGCAAAACCGTGCAATATTTCAAGGTATATTTACGCGAAGAACTATGGTCCAACTGTTGGAGATAAGGTAAAGTGAATTTTCAAAACAAGGTTTTCATTTATTTATTACTTCTGTTTTCATTTAATTTAGAAAAAAAAAAAAAAAATTCAAATTATGATTTTACACACTCTTTGCAAATTTAGGAATTAAAATTGCTTAGACATTTAAAGCAAACGAGTTGATCACAAATAAATGTTCTCGAATGAACCTGAAGAGCGTAATCATTTGCGTTAAATAACGTCTACGTTCTGGAATTTAGTGATTCACAAAGGAACAAACCCTGTCTGTCCTTAAAAGAATATTCGAATTATTTAAAATGGTTGGTCTTTGCAAAAATATGAAATTTTTCGATGCTGTTTCATCGTAAATATTTTCTTTTAAGTAGTAGTAAGAGGATAGGGTATAAATCGTCACATACAATTTCTAAAAACAAACAAAGAAAATAAATGCACACTATGTGGATGCATGAGAAGAAATTTCTGAAAAGAATGGCTCTGTATATGAATGTATGGCAGAGAGGATGATCTTTTGCAGGATGATCTTTTTCCATCGTACATTGGATGATCTTTTGCAGCGTGAAAAATGAAGCATGATAGAAATTTCAGCCTTTTTAAAATTAACAGCATTGAATTAAACTGAAAAATATAATAATTAATTAATTAGGGACAAATAATTCGGTATTTCTTATCAATTGAGATTAGAAGACATACTAATGCCATTCAGGTGTTAATAATCATCGTTTTCCAATAAAGGACCTTTTTTTGTCCCCTTTTTAAAGACATGGCCTTGATTAATCAGGAGTGGTTATTATAATTTTTAATGCAGTTTTCTAATATGAGTACCGCCATCTGTTGGCTAGAAAATGAACAATATATAAACTAATTGAATTCCTTGCATTTTAAGTATATATTTTTTAACTGAAAAAATTCTTTTTAAACTCAGCTTTGTAAAATTAACAGCATTGGATTAAACTGAGAAAAGTAATAATGTACTAATCGATGAAAAATAATCCGGTATTTTTATTAATTAAGATTAGAAAACACACATTGCTGTTAATATTCTTCCAGCTGTTAATAATGATAGTTTCCGAATAAGTGCACCATTTTTTTTCCCCCGTCCTAAAGACATGACCTTGATCAATCGGGATTGATTATAAGTGATTCATCGTTTTGCTAATATTAGCGTTGCCATCTGTTGGCTACAAAATGAACAAGTAATTCAATACCTTGCATTTAAAAAATATATTTTTTTAACTGAAAAAAAGTTTCAGCTTTTTAAAACTAACAGCGTTGAATTAAACTGAAAAATGTAACAGTGTATTAACTGAGGGAAAAAATCCCGTATTTATTCTTACTTAAGGTTAGAATATATACTAATGCATCCAATTGTGTGTTAATCCCATGACTACGATTCGAACGACATTATAAATAATTAAGTGTGTGTATGTTTGATCCATATACATTGATACATTGAGCACTAGTTGCAAACCATGATTTTACTGAGCACAATCCCATTTTTACTTATTTATACAAAGGAAGTATTGTAATCGCGAAAACTTTCGGGTATCGTATGACAAGGAAAATACCAATTCCCGAATATAGTTGAACGATTTTTTTTTTTACGTGCCGTCTGTACGTACGGACAGAATAAAGGATCCTTTTCTCTATAACAGAGTGTAAAATAGATTGAAAATGGATTCAAGAGGGAATTTTTCTTGACCTTTGTGCGTAATGTATGTATCTCACGTAATTCAAAAGCAATTAACGTGCAACGTTCCAATTTTGTATATGGGACTGCTATAACATATCTGGCTTACATGGCTTAAAATTCCTCATTCGACCTTTATTTTCAAAATTGTTGGTTTTAATCATAAAACTTCTAATTACAGAAAGATATTTAATGACGAAAATATTCCTGTTTGGTAATATCAAATTAAAAAAGAATATAAAATTTCGACTAAAAGCTAAATCTAAATTTTAGTGCAGTTTCTTTGTTTCTATTTTTATATTTGAGAAAATTTTGCACTCGTTAAGAAAAAATGAAATTATAAGAAGTTTGAATCCCGTACGACAAAAATTCACTGGGATATTTAACCGGGATATAGATATAAATAATATATCTGTTACATCGAAAATTGATCGGAATTCAAAGTTTGCAGTTTTTGATGTCATTTTTAACTTGCCTCGTAGAACTGGTTAATTAAGTTGGAATAACTTAAGTAAATAATAATAGAATAACTCGAGGCACTTAGATACTCTTCTTACAATAGAAAATTTATCTTCACTAATCGCAAATACTAATTCCTCCCTCCACTACTCATATATCATTAATAAATCTTCCATAAAATAATACTCTGCAGTTTGTTTTTCTGCTAAATTCATCTAATAAAGTTTTTTAAAATTATTCCTAGTATACTTTATTGTTTCTGCATATTTTGGATTTATGAGAATGGCATATAAATGTGTTACTAAATTCAAAAAGTGCGGCTAAATTCAAAAAGTTGGCTTTTTTGAACTTAATCCATTTACTTCTTTTTTGTAATATATATCTTTAACAGAAAATGAAGATACGTCTGTGATTCTGTAGACCTATTTCCTCCTTCACCCAAGACAGAAATTCAAAACAATTGTCTAAAAGAAAGGAATCACATTTTTTTAAAACATTACGTTTCTTTTGTATTTAAAATAGCATTGCTTCATAAATTAAAAATAATTATTTAGGTACTTTGGACGGAAGACAATTTAGTGAGCTACAAATTATAACGACCTCTATACAGGTGGTATTCGTCTGAAACAAGTCGAAATAAATTAAATATAAAAATAAGAACTCGTGCTGCCATCTATAGGGCAAAAAATAGCTAACTAATGCAAATCAAGGCCAACTTATACTCATTATAAGTTGGATTCAGATATACATTTTCTAATTTCAGTGCTGCCCTCTCTTGATGAAAGAATGAAACGAAATCTAATGAATTTAAAACTGTTTATGTTTAAAAGCTCCGAATGGTTCTCTCGTAGACAATGGATCTAATCAATGAAACTTTACAAAAATACAAATTCGAATGCATTACAGTAAAAAATGCAGTCGCTGAGATCAGTAATTAAAGAAAAAAAGCCTGTAACCACCACATTTCGGGCAATCCATGAAAAGAAATTGAAGCTTTTGTGGGGACTCCAAAAGCTTCAATTAAATTTCATTTATTGTACAAATAAATTGTACAATAAATGAATAAATTCATTTACTTGTACAAATAAATAAAAGCGTTATTCTTAGTATTGGCTATTTCCTTAATCCATTGAATAACTATACTAACAATGTATTACCCCTGAGGAGATAAATAATGTTACACTGAAATAAATGCCTTTGGTAATTCTGGAGAGGCGAAAAAAAAAAAATCGTTGCTTTTCATTTGAGCAATTAATTTTGCGTAAATACGTAACTCAAGCATTACAGTTCCTTACAAAAGCCATGAAAGGTATCCTAAGGAATAATTTGACCGCATCGCAACTGATATAATTCACCGATGCTCATTTGACACAAAAGTAACATAAATTTATCTGCGATCAATCGATGAAAAGTCAGTTTATGTAACTCTAAAACTTAATTTCCATAACAAATTTGATTTTGAATAATCGGAAGCTCTTTATGCATAACTATAAGCGTGAAGAAGCGCCACTGCGATCCTACGGATATTAATATTTTTTTTAATATTCAGTTTTGTAAAGGGATTTTATTATTTTTATTTTTATTAAATTAAAAAAGAATGGTATGTGTGCTTTGAGACATCTTCGGGAAACTGTGTATAAAATTTTTTAAATAAGAGAGTTCTTTAAAGAGAGTTCTCTAAGCACCCTATTAGCCATGCTAATTAAGAGATTATTGCGCGCGGATAATCGAAAAGGACTTCAGGCAGTATGAAACATATTACTCAGAGTTGTAATGAGAATAAATTTTAACTCAGTTTATGTATCCCAACATTCTAACAACTATTCTATATATCCCAGTGTCCCACCAGTAGTCACAAAAACATTTGTTATTTCGTCGTCTTTATCATCCTTTTCGAACTGCTCTTTTGATTCATTCTGAGCTAGTGCTTCAGCAGTACTTGTGTTTAATAAAATTTGATAATGTTAGTCTTCTCTCTCGTCACATTTCTATGTTTTATTCACTTTAATTTTCAAACTCTTGAATCAAGGTACTAAAATATTACTTATTCACTTACAAAACTTTTCTGCGGTATTTTTTCCTCTTTCTACAGCCCTCATTTTACAATATGCTTTATTCTAGATCTTAGCATTAACTTCCCCAAACTCATTAACGTTTTTAAGAATGCCACGTCCAAGTTACACGCAAAGAGATCAAGTCACACGCACAACACAATCAGCTTGATTTGTATAATTCAGTATTTGTATGTAATTCAGTTACTGTGTAAGATAGTAACTGCACGTATGGCACGGAAAAATTCAGTAATATGATTAAGTATCATGTATGTTTTTCTATTATGAATATGTTTTGAAATAAACTTCCGATGCGGCCCTCATGGGAAACCGGAAGAGCATTATTCTGGACGGTTGTGGGATCGGACAATACCCGAATAGTCTGTATAAGCCGCCCGGATGTCCGGATCCTGCTCTCGCCTATCACCTGCTTCTTTCCGTATTACAACATCTAGGCGCACTGCAATCTATGAAAAAACATCCGCATAACACAGTGCAGAAGTTTAAGGACTGTAGTTTTGATAAATCCAGTCTGCAAGCAATACATCTTGCCGTATGCAATGGATCTGAAATAACAGCATTATGCACTTTCGCAACAACATCAACAGGAAGACATATTAGGGCGAATCGCAGTTCATCACATAAACATGCAGGTTCTTCATTTTTTTTTCCCACGAAGCATGGACCTTAGGCTGTGATTTCACAGATAAACTCACACTTCTTCGACAACATTTTCTCTGTTCAGATAAGATAGCTTTATCAATTTACCTCGTTGTTTCTTTGTAAGTATTATCTTATTGGCACATTTGAACTTCTTGTTGAAAAAGCAATCTTCTCAGATTGCTTATTAAAGGTTTTCGACAAGGAATGCTTTGCACATGGTGTACTGTGATTGGTGCAAAATCACCAATCACAGAACACCATGTGAATTATGAAAAGTGTGCCAGTGCACCTCCTCCCTGTCTTGTCATTTGTCTTTTACAATACACGTCTTTACAAATGTCTTACGCTGACAGTTTTCGTCAAATATGTATCTTTCTAACGCCATTTCGGGTTTGTCAATGAGCTGCTTAACTGGCGCATTAATGGGTGCTGTACACTCAAAAATTTCGAAATGTTTTCACTGTAACTGTAGCCGTGAGAGCTCTAATTTTTTAAATCATCACTATCTCGAGCGCATACCTTCAAATAACAGCATCTGAAATTTTATTTCGATTGGTTGAGCGGATAAGCCGCTGAGTTCAAACATCAGAGAAATTATTCTATGACCTTCTTGTATTTCCCGGATCTTACTCGTTCAGATTGTTTATTTCGATCTATGCAGAAAGTGACTTGAAAATGTCACTTTTCTGCGGTATCTTTTCCTCTTTCTACTGTTGCGATAGAGATGTGCACAATTCGCAAGTGCACATCTGTATCGCAAATGAGGAAGGGATTTCGAGAACAAATCTACGGGCTCCCAGTAACATTTTCTGTTACATCACATGACATTTACCTCGTTTTTGAACTTTACCGCACTTAAAGTAAGATGGCTGAAAATGTTTTATCACCTAATTTTCTCTATAAAGTAACTAAAAGATCGTGAATTCTTTCTGAAATTTTCAATGCAAATTTAAATCAAAAATAAATTATTTTGAAGATTTCAATAACTATTTGAAAGTATATGGAATTTCAAATATTTCAAATACATCCTCAATAATGCGAAATAAAACACTAACAGCAACTTTCAAAGATTCATCGTCACAAGAGCAGCAGAAGCCCTCTGGTGTGCATTCGAAGTCCCCCCCCCTCGGTTGCGATGCCAATGTGCATTTAATAATTATGCAATCGGATGGATTGCTTCAAAGCAACGAAACTGTTTTCTTTGCGTATATCATTTGTTGAATAAAAGATGGAAATGTTGTCTCTTCTGAGGCTTTGATTAAATCTTTCTTTCAATTTGAAAGTAGCATATAGCTATCATTCATTCGAAAAAGCGCAGATTCATATTTATGCACACAATATACGAGTGTTAATACATTCTACTTACTTGCATTGTTTATGAATGAGCTCACTTTTATGAAAATGGAAATGTAGACAGTATTCAGACTTATACTTTCTTTATTGGATTAGGTCCGTCTGGGTGACACAAGTTTGGTGATAGAGATAGAAAAGGATTTTACTGAGTATGGAAACGAATGTAAATTTGGAGGCGGAAAGGCAAGTATATTTGTGTATATATAGAATAAATATTACTATTTTTATCTTTTCTGTTTTTATCATTTTCAATAAAAAGTAAAATTACAGATATTGAGAATGAAAAATGTCTCATTTTATTCATATTATTTCTTACTTGGCTTGTAAAATGTATAAAAATGTATTACTTTTCTAATCTGGAGTTTAAAAATATTGTTGCTCTATCAGTAGACATAAAGTACACCATTCATTATAATGTCAATTTATTAAATGTTCATTACTCACTTGTAGTCTATCAGTAGACATAAAGTACACCATTCATTATAATGTCAATTTATTAAATGTTCATTACTCACTTGTAGTTTTAATTAATGCAAAATTCATGAATGAATACCAAATAAAAAACGTACTAGAGTTTTAAAAAGTGCACGATGACAAATACTTAAAGGCTTTTTTAAAAAAATTGGAAATATTGTCTCTTTTTAACAAAATATACTCCGAAAATTTGCCTAATATACATATTTATTAGTACATATTCTTCACTGAAGAAATTTCTTTGGATTTCGTGGACTGAAAGAAAATGTTTCGCAAATGATAATAAATAAAATTAACATATCATGCATATCAAATAAGCTCATTTATTACTAATTTAAAATTATAACGTTTTTAAGTATTAATTGAATTTATTCAGGTACTACGTGATGGCTTGGGTCAAGCCGCTCAGAAGAAAAGCTGTGATGTTTTGGATACGGTCATCACAAACTGCGTCACTGTAGATGCTATGCAGGGCATTGTAAAAGCAGACGTCGGAATAAAGGTATTTTGTTTTTGCACGTTACAGGAAGAAACTTCATTTTATTTTATTACTTCAATACCACACTAACGATGATTATTCTTTAACTTTCTTTGTTTTGATCCTGGAACACAGGCAGGTTTAAGTAATTTTTCAGTTTTCCTTTTTTCCATCGCAAGATGAATGTGTAGATTATATTTCATTTTAGGTGAACTGAATAATTAATGTCTATAATTCTCAAGTAACTTAACTATAACGTGAGAATCTTGGTAGATTAAAAATATTTGACTACGATTTTTAAGTTTTACGGATTCTCAAAATGTTTTCATAAATGAATGGATTTGTCGGTCCGACAAACGAAAAACGTTGAGAGTTATGAGATTCCATTCATCTGCGAGATGGTGTTCTGTACCGCAAATGAGAATATGATGAAGGAAAGACGTACAGATGGCAGCTTATCTTATTGAGATCAAGATTACCTATTTTTTTGCCAGAGCTTCATAGTAGCCTTTCAGAAGTTCATTGTAGTGTAACGACTGTATTAAAAATCGAAACTTTACTTCAAGTATAAAGCAAATATAGACAAATAATTCGAATCTCAAGACGTTTGTAATGCTCAAAAATACTCTCAAACGGGTAAGTGAAAAGGTTACAAATGTAAAATCACCTCTAAATGAAGATATCGCCAATCTCGACGAAAATATTTCTGCAGTAAAGAGAGATTTGAGAAAGAAACCCTGAGATTAGGATGGAAGTTTCCAGAGCCGGCTTCAACTATAAACAGCATCCCAACCCTGCCTGATCCTAAATAACATCATCCTGCTTTGAACAACATACATGTTTCGTTATCTGATCTTGCAATTAAGACTGAAAGACTGAAATGAAAGTTATGAGACTGAAAGTTATGTTGGAACGTATGCAAAAGACAATTTGAACTGATTCCGGAAGCCAATCAATGGGACTCTGCCGCCAACAAAGCTTTAAATCTGGCTGCATCTTTAGAAGAATTAACTCCTCACACTTTACAGACGCTTCCACCGGAAAAACGTTCGGTATGTTAGGATTTCTGTTTGGAGAACTATTTCTCAAGGATTAACACCAAATGTAGTTTAAAACCGAGAAAACGAAGGACAAATCCATCAGGAACAGGTGATTGACATCGAAAGATTAGCGCACGTCCAGATTTTGTCCTAGACATTAAAAAGCCACTGAGACTTTAATACCTTTTGGTTGCGAATAAGGATCCCACCCTGCAACAAGCGCTCCGGATAGCTGATAATAAAGATTTGAAAAGTGCTCTTGAGCATTCCATGAAACTGGAGACTTCCCAGAATGCCACTGGAAAATATTGTCAACCTGTCAGGGGTGTCGGCAGTAAAGAGGACATAGCGCTAAAAGCGATGACGGAGCAGACGAAAGACTGGAGGCAATGGAAACGTCCAAAGAGAGAACATTAATAATAACAAAGTGAAATTCCAATAGAAAAAATCATTTATGGAAATAAAGCCATCTGCCGTCAGATCAAGAGATTCAAAGGAGCCGTAATAATGGAATAAAGTGCTGAACAAAGACAGTTTCCTGTGGGTAAAGAACTGAATAAAGGTCTTATGAAAGAGCCTAAATTACTAAATGCAAAAACCTCAGCTGTCAGCGTTATATAAAAATTTTCAGTTTACAGTTGAACTACCTGACTCTGTGTTGAAGAGGAAGTAAATCGATCTCGTTGCTGCATGATAGTTCACATTGGGGAAATGTAAATATTCTGAAAGCTGATAAAGCTTGCAGAATACAACGGAATAAACGGAAACAGAATAACAATGAGCACCTTTTGTACTCGGCTTCAACAAAACTTAAATACAAAAGCAGAAAAATTAAAAAATGAATGTACATATCATATTCGCATCCTGCATATATGAGTGAATAGTATACGTAGCTGATAAAACAGATCCATCCATACAGCCTCGGACTTTTTAAAGAAGTATGGATTTTGCTTAAACTTGAAAAATAATGAAATGCGTCAAAAGTAATATACACTCGTCAAGAAGTACCGATGTTTGGTGAGCATGGGGAAATTACTCAAAAGAATATGACTGTTCCTTCTAGAATGGAATGCATTATCAGCGGTTCAATGAAAACTTTTTAAAAACTTCTCGTGGGAATTATTAATTTCCTTGAGGAATACCCACATTCGAAAGCAATTATTGCTACTCTAGAGGACTTAACAAAATGAAATATGGACGATCAGTGCGGTCAACATAAATAAACTACCTATATTTGCTTGCGATGAGGGTCGTGTTAATTTCTGTTGATCAGAAGCACAATCTGGCTGAAAGATAAGATTTATTTACAACTTCAGAAATAAATAAGTAAGCAAATTAATGCCCAGTATTACAACAATGCAATAAAAATAATTTAAATATTTATAGATATGTTTAATATTGCAGCCTCGTTAAGGACTGCACTTCCCAAGGAATGAAATCCCCATGACAATGACTAACGGTCCTTTTCATAACGAGGCGTAAGTTTATCGAACTGCACTATTTTATGCTTTTTTTTACGCATCCAGGGGCGTCATCTCAGCGCATGCCTATAAATTTAAAACTGAAGAAAATGATTATTGTTTTCAAAGTTATTCAAATCGTAAAATTCTTACTGAGTTTAAACTGCAGCTTAGCATTGAATTGTTGATTTTAACATCAGAAATTTAAACGAAATGAGTTGTATGCTGCCACATTCTCTCTCTTTCTGCCCATCTAACACCAGCTGTATGTGAATGAATTATCGCACCAGTTGACGAAACACCGGTAAAATTAATTTATCCCCTTCCTCTTCTCTTCTAGCACAATACGAAAGAGTAGACGAGTTAATTATTGTCGCGTTAGAGCTACAAGGAGAGAATAGTCATTATTTACAAGTGAATTTAGCACAATTTTTTATAATTTCTTGGTACCCTAGAGGCAAATTTTCAGCTTCTATGCTTATATTTTATTGTATATTTAATTTTTAAAACTGGCTAATCTTAATTTCCGAACTTTTCCAAAATTCCATATTACAATGTTTTCAATTTATATGACTAATTGTCGTTCCTAGAAATCTGAATCTCAGTTTATTTCTTTGGTTTGATTTATTTGAATATTTCATGTAAAGGAAAAGAACTAAAAGCTTAGCAAATTTGACCTAAAGCAGATTAGCGGATTTGATAATCATAACATGCTTTCCAAATAAAATCAGATACACACTCAAAATACTTTTCCGAAGATATTAAAACATTCGACCTTATAAGTTCAAATAATTTATATTTCCGAAAACATTTTTCAACAAAAAAACTTCATTGTACTTTTGTATCCAACAATATCTCTGACGTGGTAATACTTAACACAAACTGCATCTGCAGCAATTCCAAATATTTCACTAGCATATTATTTGATTGAATTTGGGAGTCTTTTTCATTATTTAGGGGGGGGACTGACTTATCTGACCCACAGCACTCCTTCCTAGTTTAAATTGCTTGCTTTCATGTTAATAACTGTTTCTTCTTATCAGAACGACTTTTGTCTTTTCGGCGGTCACCAGCTTGTCTCCTCGAACAAAAATTCTGCCGGCCTTCAAAGGTTTTCCTGTAGTGAAATCTACTATATCTCTCTCAAGCGCAGGTTTTCTAAAACTCCCGTTAAACCTTCCTTGAACACTCTCCTATGCTTACTTAATGACAGAGCCAAAGTTCGAATATTTCACTCTCAGCTCAAACAGTTGTTCTAAATATGCTGGAATTCCTTACTGCACAAGATCCTGAATGTGTATTAGCAGGTTTGGCAGTATCAATTCGATAATTTATGCTTCACATTTTCTATCACACAAAAGTTTCACAATTTACATCTGCTTTAAAACAAAAGGCAGTTAGCTCTTTGCTATGTATTTAGTGCTTCTCATGCAATTCGGATTCTATTTGGACTTTTTCTTTAACTCCAGGAAAGCTCTCAGAAGTGCAGCCTTCAGCACACCAAATTTATAAGTTTCACTTCCTGGTTTTCAAAGTAATTTCTTTCCAGTACCAACTGTTTCCAACTGGAAAGAATTCTTTCCAATTTTTCTAAGCGCTGAGTTGGTTCAGAAACCAACTCAGCTCTTTATCTTAAAGCTCAGCCATTGCTTTAGAACGTTTTCTTTGGTCCTCCAGAGGTTGTAGTGGAAAGTGAATTTCTTTTAGTTTTGCAAAGTCAAAATTGAATTTCTTCCACCAAATCTGAGGCTAGCTTCACTGAGATTCGCATGGTATTTAATACATAACGGTCTACTTCTATATACTTCCTCTACTTTGCCGGTGTTCCACCCTCCAGAATTCTTGAGAGGTCCAAACTAAATGTAGCTCTGTCTCTAGACACCTTTTTATATCATTAAGCGCTAAATGTAGGGTTTACCTCTTTAATTAATTACATTTTTTAAATCCCACAGAGAGTGTCAAGCAAGTTATCGTCCCGTGTAAGGAAGTGAGTCAAAAGATTTTAAAAACGTTTATATTTAATTTTTAAAAAAAGCCTAATGTGTGCCCTGCTTGTGCTTACAAGTGAATCTCGGCTACTTACGGGATTTCAGATAACATAAATTCAATATAATTTTGATGCTGAATATTTACAGTATATAAGCCTAATAAGCGTTGTATGATATTCTGATTAAATTCGCTAGTCATCTAGCAAGTAATGCGGCTAACATTGCATAACTTAACATTGCAGAGATGGGCGAGTAAATGGCACTATGGTAAGCTTCGATGCTAAAGCTGTCTGTCTAACATTCAAGAACTCCTCTTCTTATACACACATATCTCATTTGCATCCTTATGAGACATAGCAAAACGTAGAAACTGTAGTGTAGATCATATTTATAAGAAAATGGAGTTGTTAACGTAAAATACTCTAATGAGTGAGTCAAGGAATTATTGGAATTTTTCTCCTTATCATACACAAAGTTTCATACTTTGTCAAAGGATATCATGCTGGTACATATATTTATATCAAAACCAGTTGGATTAAAGAATGTTAAACAAATCAAAAAATGTTTTTTCATTGCAGGACGGTAAAATAGCAGCCATTGGAAAAGCTGGAAATCCCGACGTCATGGATAGAATTACTCCCGGAATGATTGTAGGAGTGGCCACAGAAGTTATATCTGCAGAAGGCTTAATTCTCACAGCTGGGGGAATTGACAGCCATGTGCATTATATATGTCCTCAACTGGTGAAAGATGCGATATCTTCTGGTCTCACGACTCTTCTTGGTGGAGGTGTTGGTCCTGCTACGGGCAGTCGCGCCACTACATGTACACCTGGACCACATCATATAAGGCAAGAAGCATTTATTGATGTATATACAGTGCTTTAATGTATCAGAGAACCCTTCAGCGACTATAGTTGAATCTTTCATTAGCGGGCGTTGAAGGGACCTTTTGTCTGTTATCTAAAGAATACTCGCTGTGTCCAGTTTCGAACGTCGGGATAGTCGGGATATTCAAACATTGTACATTGTATTGTCCATTGCCCCTCGGGGGTTGACTCAGGCGAATGCCTTGGAAGTACTGGTTAGGATCTGTACCTAGGCAGTCTCAACCACGGGGGCATAATAACAGACTTCACAGAAGGCATGAGGGCTCTCGGGACAGAGTAAGGTTCGGCAGAGACCGTATGAGTACTGCCTTGTCTGCCCTTGCTCTGTGGGATCGCCACATGGTGGATTTAAGTTCGGTGGAGCACTTAATTCCGTTTGGCAACAGCCTCAGGTCGGAAGCGGCCCCATCCGCCAGCGTTGTATTGTCCATAGCAGGTATGACCAAACAGCGGCTCTCCGACACCTTAATTGCTACTCGCGAGCTACTTGCGATCTTTTGCCATCTGAAATGCCACCTGTTTTAAATAAATATAGTTTAATGTTTAATGCAAATGGAATCTGAAACAGAAATCATGCGCTGCTACGTTTCTTTTATTAATCGCTAATTTAATTTCTGATATTATGTATGCAAAAGTTTGGTAAGTTTCAAACTGTCTACTGCTAGGTTATTGTCAGAACAACAAATACGTAAAATTGAAACTAATTTCATTTCTGGTAATTACTATTTCCGTTATGTTACTTCTTGAACAGGTAATGGTCATCGGAATACACTAATAAGAAGTTAATCTAAAACGCAATGCTAATATTTTTTTTTATTTATTCTCCCTAATATTTTTTTCCTCAAGTTAATTTTACTTCAGGCAGTACCTGCTTACATTCTTGTGTGAACCCAGTGTTCACAACAGTTGTCATCCACCTAGAAGATTTGCTATTCCTTGTCGGGTATAACTTTTATTTAGTCTTTGAATAGCATGAATAACTGCTGGAGAAAACTGTTTCGTCTTGCAATCCATATAGAGTTTTAATCTGTGGAAGAATTTTACGAGTATTTCACTTTTGGTGGAGTGAATCTTCAGCTCCTTAACGGTTAGGACACTTGCTTCAATTTTCTGCGGAACTTTCAAAATTAATTTCTATCTCTAAGCTAGTCAAGCATTTTTATGCAATTGCTTCACTAATTTAGCAACCGTTCACAACAATATGCTTAATAAACACTTTTTCATATGAAACTTCATCTTTCGTAATAATTCCTTGGTAATCTTAGGCAGAGCTCATAATTTATTTCACCAATAGTTGTGCATGCTGAAATATTTGGGGTCGTGGAAAGATTCACTCGTTTGATAACGATTTAAATTTTATTCAAAATGCTTAATTACTATTTTATAAAATATTGTTATTCCAGATAGAGTTCTTTCACCTTGTCATCAAATTCTTCATATCAATAACGTTGCATCAAGCAATGAGTGAGCAACGGAACACAAACGTCTCTCTTCTCCAAAGTTTCTGCCAAAATCAGCCTATTGATATATCGGTGAAATCTCTTTAGCTTGGGATATGTTCTCATATTTTTCGATTTCTTATTTGATGTCTTTCTTTCTTTCTACTTCGCACTAGGTTAGAGGCATTTTGCTGCACTAGGTTAGAGTCGCAGATATACCACTCTAGTTTAGAGGCATTTTACTGCCCACCGTATCTAAAATTTTCAGCCCTTAATATTGCTTCTCTGCAGCTGCACTGGTTGCCCTGGGTTTGATGTCAGCATTGCACTTCTTTTAATCTATTGATACATTGATACTTTTTGTCTTTCTAATTTTCGATCATCATGTACGTTTGGCACGTCCTTCATAAAAGCTTAGTAGCCAAAAGAAAACTTGTACAGTGATCCACTGCTTGATCACTACAAATTTCAGGCAACAATGTGAAGTTTTGCTCCCATAAATGTTTAAAGTCTGATCTTTTATTTTCTAAAGTATCTTCTGCCTACAGAATCCATTTCAAACTCCATTTCAGATTTATTTTCTGTACACAGCTTAGGTAACCCAATGTAAAGTTATACTATGTAACCATTAAGATGACAATAATTTATTTTAACCTTCCTTCTAAGTTATTTTACTTAGAAATTCAAAACGAGACGGTAAGTCATTTGACCACCTTTATGGGTCCAACAGTTAGAATATGGTGAATCCGTACACCAATTTGGTAAGAGCTTAGGAACTACACTATTGTGCAGACGTTTGCCGTGTTACAAAAGGCGTCCACAGAGAACATCTGTGCATGCCCATAGAAATATGAAGAGCTACGCGTTTATGTTATATCTGCATTTGCGAATTAACCTCACTATGGTAGCAACAGGTATGTTTTCTTTCTGTAACATTAGTTTTGATTTGCCATGTATTTCAAAATTGCTCAAAATTAAATAGCTAGGTGGAAGATTTCGGCTGGTAGACAGATGGAATATGTGCTGGACGAACCTTTTATATAGCCGGGTATAAACTCCTAGATGTATTAGAAATAGGTTATGTATGTTCATAATTATCGTAAGAGATGGTTTAAAGAATTTTCAATGATGCGCGTGAACTTCGTTACCTTATCAGGTTCAATGTTTCTTCTAACCTTCTTCGGAAACATACAATGACCTGACTAGAACAGAGAGCTTACTAAAGCTATGTTCACTAATTGTAGTAAGTAGACAGGATACAGACGAAGGGTATACAAAACCCTTTATTTTTCTTTATATACAATGACTTCCGTACTTCGGAATACAATGACCCTCCACTCGGGGTCTAACGTAAAAGGTATAAAAATAAAATAAAACTAAACTCTAATTTAACTTTAGAATAACACGTGTAAGATTGGCCTTATAATAACAGGAAGCGTATGTAGCACAGAGACTGTGAACACTACAATACGTTTAATTTTATCAAGAGGATTAAAACCTCTGGCCTGGAAGGCAAAGTAGCAACTGCGTAACTTCTAAGGTAAGCGGCCTGCTTCGAACTCACTGGCTTCCTCTCTCTCTGCTTGGCAAAAAGGCCACACTTAAATACTTGGCGTTCGCCAGACAACTTTGCATAAACTCCTTCACGCTTATAATTCTGGCCGGAAGTAGAAAATAAGAAGTGATAGTAAAGATTTAAAATAAAATAAACGTTAGTAAAACTTAAGATCCTTACATACTTCCCGCCAGAGTTAATTAGTTTGAAACTGAGGTCTAAAACGACCTTGTTGAAAACTTTTAGCTCTACAAACTAACGCGAGGCCAACCTTTTACAAAAAAATGCTTCGCTAGAAACTAGAAAATTTAAAAGAAAGAAATTTGTTACAATAGCAGCTCCCGGGATATACAACAATCTTTTTTTTTTCCATCTGTACTGCATCTAAACAGGAGCTTTATTCAATTCTGGTTCCTTCCAGAGATCTGGAAGGAAAACTAGTTTAATGAAATGTTACAGAATGACATTGCAAATAACATATAGAATATACTTCTCTTAACATTCTTATTTCATTCATGACTATTTTAATTATCTCTCCCCGTGCTCTCTGACATGTGTTGTAAAAGAACACCAAACACGAATGTGTTTCTGTCTACGTGTGCCACACTTCCTCCTACAATCAAAACACTAACGTGTTAAAAATTCAACATACCAAGACCTCTTAACACACCCTAATTTCAACTCTAAACCCTGAGGTACTATTCTAAAAGTGGCTAACTCTAAAGTGTAGCGTCAGAGAGCCTAACTACATCATTCAACCTTTAACACATATTCACCATGATTTAATCTTTACAGTCACACGAATAACAAATTTTTAACATTACTTTCACTTTTACCATATCACGGTATTTCTTAACATTCAAAATAACAGTTCACATGTATACAAGAACATATCAAGATGCCGTTAATTTTACACATTTGAAAACATACATTAGTAGTACATTGTTAACTTCTATTCTTTTCAAAGCAAGTGCCAATTCTTTCTACATTGAAATAATACTACATTTCAAAAAGTCTTTCAGACTAAAACTTCTTTCTTGCTTAGAATGTTTTAAATAAAATTTATACAATAACTTTTTTTACAATATTTAAGTTCTTTACACAACGCTATTATACATCAACTTTAGTTTTACGCGCGAGTAATTGAAAAACATAATAAGAAAATCGGTCACAACTCATTTCTCGCCCTTTTGGCGATAAAGGTAGACCTCGCATGAGGTAAAACTTCTTGAAATCTGCCACTTGCAGTAAGAATGAAAGATTAACTTAAGTTTGTAAAGTAACATAAAATTTTACTTATCTTTGTAATATTCAGACATCCTTTTCTGGGCCCAGTCTTTAAAGGTATAGCAGATAGTAGCTTGGTTGATCCTCCTTCTTGTACGGGCTCGCCCTTCAGTGCTTTCCTCTGGAAGCTTCCGTTTTTCACCAGTACGGCCACCCTTGAACATCTTCCTTTTGTCCTCTGCTTGTGGTCTTGGCCGTTTGAAGGCAGCTGGTCTTGGTGGAACCGGGAAACTTCTGTCGTGATCCTGCTTGGACCTCGTTGTTGGCCGTTCAAATTTTTCTTGTACTTTTTCCTCCGCCGCTGATGGCCCTTCCGCAGTTCGGCGACTTTTGCTGCGGAGAGTTCTGTCGGATGAGTCAATCTTCCGTTTCACAGCCGGGTTATAGTTGCCGTCCTTTCTCCCGGTCCTTTCCCACATACGTCGTCCTTCTCCCTTCTTCATTCTGGGGGTGTTCGTGAACTCTGTTTTTCTGGACGGTGGAACGGCTTCTTTTTCTTTTTACCTTCAATTTTTCCGCGGGGCAATTTTCTTTTCACTTGCTTCTGTCTCTCATTGGCTTGCCCTTGTACTTGTCGTTTTCCCACCTCTGGAACTTGTACCTGCGGTGTCTGCCGTACCGGATCCTGCAAAAGATCTGAAAAGATTTGCATTTTATTACGATCGAAGTAGGGTTTAATT